GTAATTGTGTACCTAAAACCGCAGGGACTTCTACATGTTGATCGTGTCTTTGGTGGTAAAGATAGTATAGAGCTTAAAGGATCTGAAGTAGCCACTGAACTCAGATATCTTTTGCACTTGTTGACATTGTGTTGGCATTTTTCCAAGAAGCCGTTTCCATTATTCTTAGAAGAGACCGGCTTTACAAAGGAAAATGTCCTTATTCACGAACCCAAAGCTGGGGTAAACTTTAACAACTCTCAGGCTCTTAGGCACCTTGTCGACATAGAAATTTGAGATTTAGTTGTGACTTTTGCATCATGTAGATATTGAAGCCAGCTTTTACGGTTCTTGTCGATCACAAAACAAAATGTTTTCTATTGTTGATCCGTGGAACACATAGCATCAAGGACACCTTGACAGCTGCAACCGGAGCAATCGTACCGTTCCATCATACTGTTGTAAATGAGAGAGGGGTCAGCAATTTGGTCTTAGGATATGCACATTGTGGTATGGTTGCTGCTGCCCGGTGTATAGCAAAACTTGCCACCCCTTGTCTTCTCAAGGGTCTTGAGCAATATCCAGATTACAAAATCAAGGTACTTTAAGTAGCTGGTCTCTATTCTAGATTTCAACTTTTCGTAGAACCTGTTGTGTAAGAAGCCAAAGACTATCTCCATACATTTTATTTTTCCTGCATTTCTGTTGGCAGATCGTAGGGCACTCTTTGGGCGGTGGAACGGCTGCACTTTTGACATATATTTTGCGGGAGCAGAAAATGCTCTCTACAGCTACCTGTGTTACATTTGCTCCAGGTTTTTTATCCAATATAGTTTTCAATTACATTTGATCATACCTTCTTAAGATATAAGACTGAACTTTGTTCCTATATTTGTCAGCTGCTTGTATGACTTGGGAATTAGCTGACTCTGGGAATGACTTCATCGTATCTGTCATAAACGGAGCTGATCTGGTGCCTACATTTTCTGCTGCAGCAGTAGATGACTTACGCGCTGAGGTTAACTTCCTAGGCTCGCAATTTCATGCTTCATTTGTATACTTTGGAAAACGTTTGTTGTAATTTCTTGAATTAACCATCTGTTCTTCCTTTTCCACCTCTTCAGGTAACAGCATCTGCTTGGCTAAATGATCTGAGAAATCAAATCGAACGCACTCGAATCCTCAGCACTGTTTATCGCTCAGCGACGGCTTTAGGATCTCGACTTCCATCTATGGCCACTGCCAAAGCAAAAGTTGCTGGCGCTGGTGCAATGTTACGCCCAGTTTCTAGTGGCACACAGGTAATAAACTACACTGAATATGCTTCTAAACTTAAATAGAACTTAAGAGTCAAAAAGTCTGTGAATAAAACAAACTCTTGCAGGTTGTGATGAGAAGAGCTCAAAGCATGCTGACCCGTCCTGCACTAAGCATATCTTCTTGGTCATGTATGGGACCCAGGCGCAGAGCCTCTGCTACTCAGTCAAACTCGGAACATCAGTTAGATTCTTCTGAAGCAATGTCCCAAGATATACCCGAAACTTCAGGTCCTCTTCTTGTTACAGATGAAGAAATCACCGGGAAATGGAAATCAGAAGATGAAACATCACCTCGTCTCGGAACCACTGATCTTGACGAGTGTGAGGATCCAGCGGAAATGGACACACGCGAAGAGCGAATGACTGAAGCTGAGCTATGGCAGCAACTAGAGCATGACCTTTACCACGACACGTCAGAGCAACCTGAAGAAACCGACGTAGCAAAAGAAATAAAAGAAGAAGAAGAAGCCGTCATTGCAGAGGCCGGTGTGGCCCCGCCGGAGAGCCAGACGGCTGAGATGAAAGAATACCGCAGATTCCTCCCGGCGGGCAAAATTATGCATATTGTCACGGTTCGACCCGAGGCCGTAGAGGCTAACGAAGAAGAAGAGGAAGACGGGTCTACCCTCGAGAGGCCTGAGACAGTAGAGACGGTGGAGGAGGGTAGAGTAGGAATATTTCTGACGCCGAGGTCATTGTATAGTAAGGTGAGGTTATCGCAGAGGATGATAAGCGATCATTTCATGCCTGTTTACAGGCGACAGATCGAACGGCTAATACAAGAGCTAACAGTTGAACATGATCCTTAAAGCTTGTCTTTCTTCCTTTTTTGGCGGTAAATGTGTATTTGCAGTTGTAAATACTACTTATTGACTATTATCTTTATGAGGTTTTTTTTTTTTGTTTATCCAATATTCGAAAATGTACAGAAATACTTGGCTATTTTCGTTATTTTAGTGAGTTAGAAGATTGTCTTTTTCAATGGGGGAATCGACAAGAAATATTCTCAAAATGAATTGAAATATTAAAATGTCTCTTTCTAACCTAACCACGACTACGTAGAGTACCTTATAGGCGATACCATTTGTCTCATTTCTGTTAATCATTGTCCTTTTTAATACTCAAATAATAAGGTCAAAAGTCTAAATTTTGTAAAATATGCCCAGAATATTTTTATCATCAACAACTAAAGAATCATCGGTTGTACAAAAATGAAAAGAATGCCACGTCTGTCGTTGATATGATTCCGTGTCAAAAATGAACCTGATCACCATTGTTTTGACAAGCGCTGCTGATTCCTCACCATTGTTTCGTGCTACGATCACACCAATTCTCTTTTGCCAACCTTCAATTCCCAGGAAACTATAATTTCCCGTCGCTAATTAATCTTGGTCACCACCTGATTCTCAATTGCGTTTCGCCTGATCGAAACTGAGGGTTTTTCAACATTTTCAAAATCGTATACTGTTTGTTTCAAAACCCTAGGCCCCTTTCTGGTTAGGTTAGGTTTGGGGTTTATGATCATCGTTAGTTGGTTGTTTGTTCAAATAAGGTTTGAAAAATGAGCGCGGTGAGTTTTCTATATAGCTCGAAAAACCCCAAATTTCGAGGGGCTTTCAATGGGATTTGTGCTCTGGTTCTGTTTTGCTTCTTCTTTGATCGGAGCGATATTCTCAGGAACCCTTTGTTTAGGAACTCATCTCTCGTCAATGGTGGTAGTGGCTCAACCTCCCGAGGTAAATTCAATAATGGTTTCACGTTAATTCGTAGAAATGTGAGGCAAATTGAAACGAATGATTCTGGCAATAGCAGCTTGAGTAGCACTAGTACTGTTTTATTCTCAGGGTTACACAAACACATTGGTTATGCTGATCAATGCGACTTCTTAAAAGCAAACCCAATTTGTTCCCCTGATGGATTCTTTGATTACCTCAACTTCTTCTACTGCTCCTGCAGAGATTTCAGTATCTTGGGTTACATGATGTTAGGTGTTTGGCTTGTTGCATTGTTTTATCTCTTGGGTAATACTGCTGCTGATTACTTTTGTTGTTCATTGGAGAAGCTTTCAAAGCTTTTGAGGCTACCTCCAACTGTTGCTGGTGTTACTTTACTTCCTCTTGGGAATGGAGCACCAGATGTGTTTGCTAGTATAGCCGCTTTTGTTGGAACAGATAAAGGAGAAGTTGGTCTTAACAGCGTCTTGGGTGGTGCTGTGTTTGTTACTTCTGTTGTTGTTGGCATTGTTTCGCTTTGTGTTGCGGATAAGGATGTCAAGATCGATAAGAAATGCTTCATCAGAGACTTGAGTTTCTTCCTTTTCACGCTTGTGTCTTTGCTGGTGATTTTGATGGTTGGTAAAGTGACAGTCCGGATTGCCATCGCCTTTGTCTCGATATATGTGATTTATGCTTTCCTTGTGGCAGCGAATGTCATTCTGATAAAACATGCTAAGAGGTTTAAACTAGAGGCTCTTACTCCTTTGCTACCTATGCAAGGAAGCATGTTTTCCCCGAGTGTTGGAGAGGATATGCCAATGAATACCCCCTTGATAGAAACTGACCCTGAGGATGGTCCACCTCGGCTACAGAGTCTTCCTCAGTGGATGTGGGCGTCAAATGTGGCCATCTATTCCAACCATTTCGCGAAAGTTAGTGTACATGATGAAGACAGGCCACCTTGGGGATGGATTGATGACAGTGCAGAAGTTGAGAGCTCCTCATGTACTAAATTCACTTCCTTGTTGGAAATTCCGCTGACGATTCCAAGGAGGTTAACAATTCCGTCGGTCGAGGAAGATACATGGTCAAAGACATATGCTGTGGCCAGCGTTACATTAGCTCCTGTCCTTTTGGCGTCTCTCTGGAGTAGCCAAGACGATGTGAGTCCCCAAGCTTGTGGTGTCGCATACTTTATTGGTGTTGCTATAGGCTCTACTCTGGGCTTTCTTGCTTACAAAAACACAGAACCCGATCACCCACCTCGAAGATTCTTGATCCCTTGGGTCCTTGGTGGGTTTATCATGAGCATCGTATGGTTCTACATGATTGCAAACGAACTTGTAGCTCTTCTGGTGACATTTGGTGAGATTTACGGAATTAACCCGTCGATACTTGCGCTAACAGTACTTGCTTGGGGAAACTCAATGGGTGACTTAGTGTCGAATATCGCATTGACGATGAACGGTGGTGATGGTGTACAAATCGCTCTATCGGGATGCTACGCAGGTCCAATGTTCAACACACTCGTCGGGCTCGGTATGTCAATGCTTTTTGGCGCATGGTCCAAGAGTCCTGACACATACATGCTACCAGAAGACAAAAGCCTGTTCTACACACTTGGGTTTCTAGTACTCGGTTTGGTTTGGGCTATGGTGATACTCCCGCGCAACGACATGCGACCTAACAGAACCTTAGGTATGGGACTCATTGCAATATATCTGATATTCGTCACTTTCAGGCTCAGTTGCGCCATGGGATTCATACCATGGGCTGCTTAAAGAGCTATATATAATCTTGTTTAGTCTCTAACCAACAAACTAATCAGAGGCTTATTGTATACCAAAGAAGTGGTCATGACATGAGAGTTCATAGTTTTGAATCTTATTAGTGTGTTTGTTTGTTATTGGTTTGTCCTTTTGTCATACCTGCCCATTTTTATAACCGCAAAAATTCTTATTATCCTCGTGTCAACATTAAACCAGTCATGTGTCCCACGTCTCCTCCTTGCTATTATTCACTGTTATCTTTTGGAAGAATCATTTGGGACCAATTATTGATAAATTGCTGACGTGGCATATAGACGAAATACAAGATTCAGTAGAAGCTCAACGAGATAATAAATACGTCACCAAAAGTTATCACCCACAACGAATCTTCTTCTTCTTCTTCCATCGCCATTGCCATGGCTAAGCTCTCTATCTCCTCCGTCTTCTTCGTCTTCTCTCTCTTCCTCTGTTTCTTATCCTCTTCTTATTCTTCGTCGGATGGCCTAGAATCCTACATCGTCCATGTGCAGAGTTCTCATAAGCCTTCCCTCTTCTCCTCCCACAACCACTGGCACGTCTCTCTCCTTCGCTCTCTCCCTTCTTCTCCCCAACCAGCAACGCTCCTCTACTCTTACTCACGCGCCGTTCATGGCTTCTCCGCTCGCCTCTCCCCTATCCAAACCGCCGCACTCCGCCGTCATCCTTCCGTCATTTCCGTTATACCAGATCAAGCGCGTGAGATCCACACCACTCACACACCTGACTTCCTCGGTTTCTCCCAAAACTCTGGTCTCTGGGGCAACTCAGATTACGGCGAAGACGTGATCGTCGGCGTTCTAGATACTGGAATCTGGCCGGAGCATCCAAGTTTCTCGGATTCAGGTCTCGGTCCCGTTCCATCTACATGGAAAGGCGAGTGCGAGATCGGACCTGATTTTCCCGCCTCATCTTGCAATCGGAAGCTAATCGGAGCTCGAGCGTATTACAAGGGATATTTAACGCAACGGAATGGAACAAAAAAGCATGCAGCGAAGGAATCGAGATCGCCGCGCGATACAGAAGGTCATGGGACGCATACGGCATCTACGGCGGCTGGATCGGTGGTTGCAAACGCGAGTTTGTTCCAGTACGCGCCCGGAACGGCTCGTGGGATGGCGTCTAAGGCGAGAATCGCCGCTTACAAAATCTGTTGGAGCAGCGGATGCTACGATTCCGATATCCTCGCCGCCATGGATCAAGCGGTTGCGGACGGTGTTCACGTTATCTCTCTCTCCGTCGGAGCCAGCGGTTACGCCCCGGAGTATCACACGGATTCTATCGCGATCGGAGCATTTGGAGCGACGCGGCACGGCATCGTCGTTTCTTGCTCCGCTGGGAATTCTGGTCCAGGTCCCGAAACCGCGACGAACATCGCTCCATGGATCTTAACCGTTGGTGCATCCACCGTCGATAGAGAATTCTCCGCAAACGCAATCACTGGAGACGGGAAAGTCTTCACGGGAACATCACTGTACGCAGGCGAATCTCTACCGGATTCTCAACTTTCTCTGGTATATTCCGGCGATTGCGGAAGCAGATTGTGTTACCCTGGGAAATTGAATTCATCATTAGTGGAAGGCAAAATCGTGCTCTGTGACAGAGGAGGCAATGCAAGAGTTGAGAAAGGAAGTGCCGTCAAGATAGCCGGTGGTGCAGGTATGATTCTGGCGAACACAGCTGAAAGCGGTGAAGAACTCACCGCTGATTCGCATCTCGTCCCGGCGACAATGGTTGGAGCTAAAGCTGGAGATCAAATCCGCGACTACATCAAAACATCAGACTCTCCCACCGCAAAAATCAGTTTCCTAGGCACTTTGATCGGACCATCTCCTCCTTCTCCCAGAGTCGCCGCTTTCTCCAGCCGTGGACCAAATCACTTGACACCGGTTATCCTTAAACCGGACGTGATTGCTCCCGGAGTCAACATTTTAGCCGGTTGGACCGGGATGGTTGGTCCCACCGATTTAGATATCGATCCAAGACGGGTCCAATTCAACATCATCTCCGGTACATCGATGTCGTGCCCACACGTTAGTGGACTCGCCGCTCTCCTCCGTAAAGCTCATCCCGATTGGTCACCTGCAGCAATCAAATCCGCCCTCGTAACCACCGCCTACGACGTCGAAAACTCCGGCGAACCAATCGAGGATCTCGCCACCGGTAAATCATCAAACTCGTTCATCCACGGAGCTGGACACGTCGATCCAAACAAAGCTTTAAATCCTGGTTTGGTTTACGACATCGAGGTTAAAGAGTACGTAGCTTTCCTCTGCGCCGTGGGATATGAGTTTCCGGGGATTCTAGTCTTCCTTCAAGATCCAACTCTTTTCAATGCCTGCGAAACGAGCAAGCTAAGAACCGCCGGAGATCTCAATTACCCATCTTTCTCAGTGGTTTTCGGATCGACCGGAGAGGTTGTGAAATACAAAAGGGCTGTCAAAAACGTGGGAAGCAATGTCGACGCTGTGTACGAAGTCGGAGTTAAATCTCCGGCGAATGTTGAGATTGATGTGTCTCCGAGCAAGCTCGCCTTTAGCAAGGAGAAGAGCGAGTTGGAGTATGAAGTGACGTTTAAGAGCGTGGTGCTCGGCGGAGGAGTCGGATCCGTGCCGGGTCATGAATTCGGGTCGATCGAATGGGCAGACGGCGAACACGTGGTTAAGAGTCCCGTTGCCGTCCAATGGGGTCAGGGATCAGTTCAGTCCTTCTGAAGTTCTGATTGATGATACAACTTGGGCTCTGGTTTTATGTTTTCTTTAAAACGAAAAAGTCATGCCGGGTTTGTTTAATGGGCCATGTTGTTAATGGGCCGATCTGTATACTCATTTAAAGAGCCCTTACTCTTGGGTTATACCACTATGCATGGGGTGAATGAGCAGAAATTTCGATTGGCATTTGTAAACTTTTAGATTCTTGTTTGATTTCATGTATCCACCTGGCAATTAAATGTTTTGTAATAAGCAAAGGATTCCGAAAGAAAGAAAAAAAAAAAGAAATTTCGTTTTCTTTAAACTTTGTTATAAATAATCAAGATTACTAAGAGCAGGTCCATTGGGAGGACCTTGTGAGTTTCTTAGAAGAATCTTAAAGAAAAAACTTAAAAAAGTCAAAAAATAATTCAAAATTGTGGTATTAAGCAAGGTTTGCACCTTGCATTAGGTGTTTTTTAGTTTTTAAGGTTCGTGTACGTGTCATTCTCTTATTGGAAGAGTATATATAAAAAAAAAAAAAAAAACTTTACTATCCTGTGCTTTTACCTTCAAAATCGATTTGCCTTCTCTCCTCCTTGTTTTCTCCGAACCTCTACGGATTCAGATTCAAGCTTCAAATCCAGGAAACACCAATGTCTTATCTTCCTCAAGCTATGTTCCTCATTTAAACATCTTCTACAGATCCATGGTAAAATCCATGTCTCCTCACTCCAAAATGACAGCTTTATCATCATCGAGCTTGTACGGGTTTCATCACTATCCCTCGTCAAAGACCTTACCTTTGCGCGAACCCTTCTGCTTCACTCTTCAGATTCGACTCCTTCTACTTGGAATATGCTCAATAGAGGCTATTCTTCGAGTGATACTCCAGTAGAATCGATTTGGTTTTATTCTGAGATGGAGAGACGAGGAATCAATCCTAATAAGCTTACTTTTCCTTTTCTTCTCAAGGCTTGTGCTTCGTTTTTAGGTCTCACTGCGGGTAGACAGATTCAAGTTGAGGTTTTGAAACATGGGTTTGATTCTGATGTGTATGTTGGGAATAATTTGATTCATCTATATGGTTCTTGTAAGAAAACTTATGATGCCAGGAAGATGTTCGACGAAATGACTGACAGAAATTTTGTTTCTTGGAACTCGATTATGACTGCTCTTGTTGAGAATGGTAAGTTCAATTTGGTGTTTGAGTGTTTTTGTGAGATTATTGGTAGGAGGTTTTGTCCGGATGAGACGACAATGGTTGTTTTGCTCTCTGCGTGTTGTGGTAACTTGAGCTTGGGGAAATTCCATTCCCAAAGTAGGAGAGTAGGATGGAAAAGGAAAGTAGGCCGAAGAGAGGGCAAGGAAAGCAAGCGATGTTGGTGCATTCACAGGTGGTGGTAAGAGAGTTAGAGTTAAACTGTAGACTAGGTACTGCACTTGTAGACATGTATGCAAAATCTGGTGGATTAGAGTATGCTAGGTTAGTTTTCGAAAGAATGGTTGACAAAAATGTTTGGACTTGGAATGCCATGATTGTAGGTTTAGCACAATATGGATTTGTAGAAGAAGCCCTTCAACTATTCGCGAAGATGATGAAAGAATCAACGGTGAGACCAAAATACGTGACATTTCTCGGTGTTTTATGCGCTTGTAGCCACACGGCATTGGTGGATGACGGGTACAAATACTTCCACGAGATGGAGAAAGCACACAAGATCAAACCAATGATTATTCACTACAGAGCAATGGTAGATATCTTGGGACGTGCATGTCGACTAAACGAGGCGTATGACTTCATATAGAAAATGCCTTTTGAGCCTGATGCGGTTGTTTGGAGGACTCTACTCTCCGCTTGTAGTATCTATCACAATATTCGGACCACAATTAGTATTCAAAGCTATTATTGTCTCAATTTTTAGAAAATATTCTCTATATATACAACCATGTATGGCTCTTCTTCTTTATCCAATTGTCTTCATTCTTCTTTGTTCTTCAACTCAAAAACCCCAAAAACACTCTTCTTTAAGAAACCCACTTAAGGACTCCACCATTGGACAATAAAAAATATAAGGATTTAACAAAAACTCTAAACTCTCATTTATTCAAAATTTAGTATTAAAAATTATAAGGAGCCCTTATTTAGGACTCCCCAATGGGGGTGCTCTAATAACTTTAATTTAATTCTGTAAAAAAATTGTGTATATTAGAGCAAAAAAGTACTATAGCATTAGTCAACATCAAAGCAGAAATAAATAAATGAATAAACACAAGCCGTCCATTAATTAACGCACACACAAAACTATTCAGAAGTCAAGAAACATATCATTTTCCGGTGAATGGTTTTCACTACAACTTATAAAAATCGAACTAAAGTGGACTTTCTATGTAATATAGACAAAATGGGTCCCTTGAGCTACGTAACTTTTGTGTCGTCTTCTACAGCGAGACATACAATGGCTTACTCTTGTCTAAGCGTAATCTTAGCTTATCTACTTACTGGCCCTTCTTCAATATTCACTAACGCTTCACGAAATGATTACCAGTAATGCAAAGTCTTAATTATACTATTCGATACATTATTATGCATGTTTTATCTATCAAACTTGACTCGCATCATTTGCTATCATATGATTGAACAGATTGCTAAAAGATAATAAGTATCAGCAGTCTCTTTAGTAGTTTACTATTTTTACATAATAGTTCAAAATCAAAATATGTGGCACTAGTGTAATGTCGTGATATATAGGGCATTCCCCCTAAATAAATTTTTAAAACTGTATATTTTGCGTATAACAACAAAAACTACAAATGGTTATGATTAGGACATATGATACATTACTTTACGGAAATTACGTAATATGTCATATTTAGTCATAAAGTCACCACAAAACAAATTTCACGGCTCTTATTAGTATCTCTCTATATAAGTATATAATAAGTTTCTCAATCTAACTCCATAAACCATCTTTCACTTTCTTCCTTATATAAAATTCTCTCGCGAGATTTCTATGGATCCCCATTTGGTCATCACTGCCACCTCCAGCGCATTCCGGTGGCCGTCAAGTCACCGGAAGATCTATCTCCGTCGGCGTAAGCCACAAGTTGTGCGTCTCGGCGGGAAAAACAGTACGCCACGTGGCAGGTTCTCGCTTAAGAAGGTGGTAACGAGGATGAGACTCAAGTGGCTGAGACTGTACTACGTGAGGCTCGTGAAGAAAATCAAAGCGTATTATCGTACTATAGTGAAGGAGTTCGAGGACGCCGGAGCCGCCACCATCCAGCAGCGCATGACGGTGGAAACGGCTGCTTTTGCCGCTCCTGGCTTAGGCTTATCTTTCTGTCCCATGTCCGGCTACGTCGACCAGCCTCGTTTTTTTCTTGTATAGCTAAATTATTTAACTCGAGTATCAAATTAATTACCTTCATAATTTTGGAGGTCTTTTAAATTTCCTGTTTAAAAGTATACGTAAAAAAAACTATTTGCGTATAACAATTCTGTCACAAAAAATGTCAAAAACTTCTTTATTGAAAAAATGTCAAAAACTATATAAAACAGTTTGAACGAAACAAGATATAAAAACAAAGGGAACTTGAATTGTTGGACCATGGGAAAAACTTGGTCCGTAAGATTCTTGTCGGCTAAAAGATACTGTTGTTCATATATAGTTTTATGTGTTGACTTATATGATATGCAGGTACTTGTGCGGTAGCTAGATGTTTTGTTCTCTCTAACTTCGAAGAATGTATACCAATTAATTCTCCCTTTCCCGGTTTCAAGTGTGAAGAAAATATATAGTGCATGCAAAATATTTTCCATTTGTAATTAAAAATTCATATTTTCATTCGAGTATATATATATGCACACAATTTCCCACAAGTGTAGGATAATTTTTTTTTTTTATATCGTATAGTCATATTTGTGTTCAAAATTAGATTACTTACCTAACTCAACCTGGATTAAAAGGTATAAATCATGATTATGTTTTGTTAGTATGAAAACATATTTTCTTTGCTTCAAAGTACAAACGTTTGCTGTTCTTCATCGTGGGTTTAGACAAAATTCATTGGGTTCACAATTTGTTTTTGTAAAGAAGACTAAAGAGTGATATAAAAATCATTGGGTTTAACCCAAAATATTCTACATATTACTATGTACGAGTCCAAAGAGGCCCGAGATTTAGTATTGGGCTAATTAATGACCCTGAAAGTTTCAAACCAAGAGAGTAAACCAAACCGATATTTACATTAGCGGGTCATTTTCTCGGTTAAGAGAAAACCGGAATGATACATGTGAGGATGCGTGTGTGAGGAGGCTAATTGCGTGAAGGAGAGAAAGAGGCAAACGCTACAATTCCACGTGGTTAAGTCATGGCTGACCTAATCCTCGTGATACGTTTGCTTCTTACGCAATTCACATTACCAATTATTTGCTATTTTGGGACCACCTCTTCTTGTCATAAACCGAAACTAACCGATCTGATTCCTCTAATAAATATCTCAAAATGCTGCTGCCACATAAATCCAATATTTTTCTAACCAACTAAAATTGAATTAAATGATCTTCTTCCGCCGTCGACATAAAAACCACGAAAATATCATATACGTATTAAAACACTAACACACGTGATATAGAATGTATCAGACTTTGACCAGTTGACTATCAACAACCGTAGGAACTAAAATTTACGGCTGTAATTCAGTTTAAGCTGAAGAAGACTCAACCGCTGCCGTCTGATGTAAGAAGACACCGTCATCCCCACAAGTCATAGAGTTGATTGACGATGCTAGGGTATGGACACGTGGTACGAGCGTGACATCCATTTTTTTTATCTCATGGCCGCCAAATTAGACGCGTGTCATGTTCAGTATTGCCGACTTGGCACCACGTGGCGAATTTTCTTCTTGCTTTGATGGTTTAATCTCCGGAACGCGTCGGTGTGTCCTTATCAACACTCTCTTCCTAAAACTTAATATAGTTGTATAAATCCATCAATGCATTCAAAATGCCACTGTTGCCCCTGGCTTGATATCATTAACCATCCGTCTTTTATTTTTTTCCGAAAACCCAATCATGTTTGACTGTGTTAGTTTTGATATTGTAGAAGAAAACGCATCTTCCTTTTGAAGGAATTGATTTCACTATACATAGTTTTTGATTTGTAAATTAATCAAATGTTTCGTGATGTGTAATCTAAATAGATTTATATTTACCTTTACAGATTTGAAATTTATCATCCTTAGCTACTACATTTAAGTACACTGTTTGACAATGAATGAGAAGGGTTTAGGAGAGTTATTAACCAAACCAGCAATGTGGGTTCGATTCAATTCCCCTTATTGATGCCATGCAACAAAAACATATCCAATGAGACCTCACGAAATAAACAAAATAAAAAACGATAGACAAAACATAAATCTCATGGTGGACCCTTGTTTTACAATTTGCTGATTTTTGTTCATGTTTAAAGTAACAAATTCCATTTGATCAAAAAAGTAAAAAAATTATATTAAATAATAAAGAAAGTTGTTTTTTTTCTTTCAAAACTCGTCATAATCCATATTAACAACAGTTAAAAGTGGATCAAATGATTCAAGTTGATGCTGATGCATAATATGGGATGACTCATCTGCCGTTGACACTGTGCTATAAGCCTATCTTCATTTTTAAACAAAAAACTGAAGAAGTAAATTAAAAAAATTCCAAGTGGATAAGAAGATACGTACTAAATTAAATTTGATTAATTTTATACAACAAAAAAAATGGCGGGGTCATGCATTGGCGTGAAGCTTAAGGAAGCATATGTGAATAATGATCACGAATATCTAATTAATATCAGGAATAAAAATTTAGAAAGATGTCGTTGAGTTTAGTATTATATATTCGGTTGGTTAAAAGAAATATACTTATTGGAATACTTACTAGTTAGTAATTAGTGAGAAAATCTGTTATAAAACCTAACATTAAATTCATATATACAACCTACATGATAAACATTTAGATTTATCAGTCTTATTAAGATTGAGTTTTAATAAGTTCTTAAAACACACACAAATATTCGAAACAGAAATATATATAGAGCTAAGTATGAGATGAGACCTGCACTATCTTGTAGGTTATCGTACAAGTTAGGTTCAAATACAATTAACTTATAAATTAAAATGTCTTTTATCATAACACAAAAGCCATCTAGTGACTAGTACTCCATAAACTATGCCTTTTAAAAGTTATTTTATAGCCAAATTGGAGTTGGGATATCGATGTCATCTGATTGGATATATTCTTAATCAGTTAGTGTGTCATCAATTTTTTAATGACACAAGTCTCTTTAATCACAACGAATTAGCTTTGATTATAATATCCTTTAGCATTAACCTATATGTGTTTTGAGTTTGGAAGTTGATATAACCAAAATAACATCAGGGAAGATTTCATAAATCTTAGCTCGTGGATAAAGCATTAGAAAAATTAGATTTATATTCTATACCCAATACAAAGAAAATAATTGTTTACGAACAGCAATGGATAAGGACATAACAAGATTAGACTGTACTAATAATCCCACTTTAACTCAGTAATTACCGATTAAGTAAAAGGGTATATCGGTAATAGTAATATTGATCGGTTTAGTTTTGGTCGGCCGAACTTAAACAGACGAATAAGAACAGAGGAAGGAGAGACAGTAGTTTCTAATTTCGAGAAAAGGAAAAGAAAAATCAAATAGAGAGAGATTAATTTCTTCCTTAAAGCAAAGCGTCCAACTTTCTTCTTCTCCTTCTTCCTCACACACACCCTCTTGTCTCCATTAGACTCGTTTTCTACGATTTTTCTCCTCTTCAAAAACTCGTATAAATTGTACATAGTTTAGGCTTTGTTCTGTTCTTCCTCTGTATAAAAGTTCCTTGTACAACTCAAAATCCATCTGGGTTTCGTGTTAGAATTTGTGGGTTTTGAGTAAATCTGTTTGTTTCAATAGAAAAAAGGTGACTTTGATTCCCGGGAAATTTGACGAATTTTGGGAGCTAATTCTGGGAATTGCACATAGTTTCTGGTTATTTTTTATTCTTTGATTTCTGAACAAAAAAAAAAAAAAAACTGAACCTTCGGATTCTAAACCAGAACCAACGAGCTCCAATGGTGGTGGCGACGACTATAGCTCTTTACGCGAGCCCACCAAGCAGCGTTTGTTCCACGCCACATCAGATCTCATGTGATCTCGATCTGACCTCCAGGAGTTCGTCAACATCCCCTTCCATGGTTTCCTCGCCGCAGAAACCAATCGTCGGTGGTCTCTCTTCACTTTTCTCCGGCGCATCCGTCAAATCTTCAGCTTCCTCTTGCTCATACTCAACCGGAGTAGATGAGTTTTCTTCAGTACGCTATGATCGGAGTGATGATTTAAAAGATCTGAGCTTGAGCAGCTCCTTTTGTTATTCTCCGGCGAAATTTGTGAATTCTTCGTATCTTAGACGAGATCTTCAAAGTCCTATCTCTGTGCTTCACGGTCCAGTTTCTTGTAGTTGTAGCCCTCCGATGAGAATGTCTCGTGATCGGAATCTAGATGGCTCGTTTCGTTTAGGAGCTAGTGGATTGTTCAATGGTTTCGTAAGGAAAGCTCTAGGATCATGTGTGGATTACGAATTGGGATCGGATTCTGTTCTCGTTGATGAGCTAACGTTTCCTATGGAGGATGGTTTTGGGGTTGATACGAGAAAGCCATATGCTAGGGATTTGTTAAGACGTGCTCAATTGAGACACAAGATCTTCAAAGATGAGTCTGTGATCAAAGCATTTTATGAAGCAGAGAAAGCTCACAGAGGACAGGTATAAAAAGATACAATCTTTATCACTAGTTTTTTATTCTTGTTTGGTTTTTGGTGGCTGAACTTTTCGTTTGATGTTTGTAATCAGATGAGAGCTAGTGGTGATCCTTACCTTCAACATTGTGTTGAGACTGCTATGTTGTTGGCTAATATCGGAGCTAGCTCGACTGTTGTTGTTGCTGGGCTTCTTCATGATACTATGGATGATTCATTCATGAGCTATGATTATATTCTCAGAAACTTTGGAGCAGGAGTGGCTGATTTGGTCGAAGGGGTAAGAAAGATCGACATCTATGGACTTTGATTGATTGAGATTCTTGGTTTTTTAAATCCGTATGTGTGTGTGTGTGTGTGTTTTGTATAGGTTTCAAAGCTTAGCCAATTGAGCAAACTCGCTAGAGAGAACAATACGGCGTGTAAAACCGTTGAAGCAGATCGATTGCACACAATGTTTCTTGCAATGGCAGATGCAAGAGCTGTTCTTATAAAACTGGCTGATCGATTACACAACATGAAGACGCTTTACGCTTTGTCCCCAGTGAAGCAGCAGAGGTTTGCTAAAGAGACGCTGGAAATATTTGCACCGTTGGCTAATCGTTTGGGAATCTCTACCTGGAAAGTTCAGCTTGAAAATCTTTGTTTCAAGCATCTTTACCCAAACCAGCATAATGAGATGTCAACCATGCTTGAGGATTCATTCGACGAAGCCATGATTACTTCTGCAATAGAGAAATTGGAGCAAGCTCTTAAGAAAGAAGGCATTTCTTATCATGTTCTGTGTGGCCGGCACAAGAGCTTGTATAGTATTTACAGCAAGATGTTGAAGTAAGTTCTCTTTCCTCCCTTCTACTAAACAAAAGATGTGAGTGAAACTAGAAGACTAATGTTGATGTTGTCTATTCCACTGTACCAGGAAAAAGCTAACTGTGGATGAAATTCATGACATTCATGGGTTACGTTTGATTGTTGACAACGAAGGAGATTGTTACAAGGCCTTAGGAGTAGTTCATAGCTTATGGTCTGAAGTTCCTGGAAAGCTGAAGGATTACATAACTCATCCCAAATTCAACGGGTAAGTTCATATCTCGTGGTTTAAGTTGTGGTTGCTTGTGGCTTGTTAAAATGTAATGAATCTGACTTTGGAAAATTGGATTTTAGGTATCAATCTTTGCACACGGTAGTGATGGACAATGGAACAGTCCCACTTGAAGTCCAAATACGTACACAGGAGATGCATTTGCAAGCAGAATTTGGGTTTGCAGCTCATTGGAGGTACAAGGAAGGTGACTGCAAATACTCTTCGTTTGTGCTTCAGATGGTTGAATGGGCTCGGTGGGTCGTAACCTGGCATTGCGAAGCAATGAGCAAAGACCGATCTTCCATAAGTTCTTCTGATTCCATCAAACCCCCTTGCAAGTTTCCGTCTCACTCCGAGGACTGCCCGGCTTCTTACAAGCCTAACAGTAGCCAGGACGGACCAGTGTACGTCATCGTAATCGAAAATGACAAGGTTTGTTATAAACCTCTTATCATCTTGTCTAGTTCAAAATAGTTTTGCACTTGATTGTTATACTGAACAAATCTGAAAATGCAGATGTCTGTGCAAGAATTTCCAGCGAGTTCTACAGTCTCGGATCTGCTAAGCCGGGCGGGGCCAGGGAGCTCGAGGTGGTCCATGTATGGCATACCAGCAAAGGAAGAACTAAGGCCAAGGCTGAACCAAAGACCTGTAAGTGACCTCAAGTGGAAGCTGAAGATGGGTGATGTGGTGGAGCTGACTCCAACAATTCCTGACGAGTCTCTGACTGAATACAGAGAAGAGATTCAACGGATGTATGATCGAGGACTCGCGTTTTCCCGCCCCGGAACCATGGTCGGATGGGGAAGTTGATGGGTCCTCATATTGTTAACTAGTCCATGTCTGTATGTATATATAGTAATATGATTAATTTGTTGTACATAACAATGCTTCCGTTGGTTCAATCTAAGCTAAAAAAAAAAGCAAAAAGTTAGTATTAGACTTTTTATAAATTTGCAAAAATAAAGTAGTCGTTCTTTCATTAAGAGTTTAAATTTATTGAGAGAACTCTCAGTGATTCCCACAAAGTGTGAATATGTTTTGAATTATCAAATTAAACCTTGTCTTGATGAGGCATATTCTTTGTCGCCTTCTATTTACCCAAAACTATTGAGAGTTAAAACCTTAGCTGAGAGTTTACTTAATATTGATACCAAAAAAAAAAAAAAAAAAACACTATTGAGAGTTATAAACTTCAAACTACTAGATTCTTAGGTCTGACTGGTTTAAACGCAGCGGTTGCGGTTGCGGTTGCGGGAGTTTGCGGAAGCGGGCGGTTGCGGTTTCAAGCGTTACCAAGCGTTTTGAACGACTGGTTTAGCGTTTGAAAATGGATGCGTTTTCGGGAGTTTTATGACTGGTAAATCAGCGGTTGCGGTAGCAGTTAAATAAAAAAATGACCAAAAAAATAAAAAAAATATTACAAAAAAAGAAATAAAAATACTAATATATTATTATGATAATATTAGAAAAATTGAACATGCTTAATAATTGAAACCATAAATAAAGTACTAAATAGTTATTCAAAAATAAAGAAATTTTGTAATAAGATAGTATTTTATACTGGGTTAACACCAAAAATTGCATCAAGTAATGAGGCAAACTGTAAATAACGTTGAATTCAATCAAAAAGCAAGTGATTTTCTATTCGAGAAAATAAATCGAAACATATATTCAATCAAAAAGCAAAGCAATACATAATGAAAAGAAAAAAAAGATGCTAAGAAAAATATTCAAAGAGTTACACATGAGGTGATGAATGAATAAAATGATATATGATACTTACGTTTGGTTCTTGATTTTCATCAGTTTGGGTGGAAGACATTGAGAAAATAAAATTTTAGAATATTGATTAGGGTTTATGATGAGAACGTGATACAAAGATGAAAGATACATATATGATAAATATATTTTATAATAATTATAAGTAAAGGTTTGTTTTTTTATTTTTTTTTTTTTTTTTAAAATCCAACCGCTACCGCCCGCAACCGCAAACGCTTGCGGGAAGGAGCTTTTGAAATTCAGCGATTTCGAGCGGTTTGAAGCGGTATGGAGCGGTTTCTATGATTGGTACCAACCGCTAACAACCGCAACCGACCGCTAGCAACCGCTAGGAGGGTGCTAGCGGGAGAACCAATCAAGCCCTTAGAGCATGCGCAATGCAAATCTCTCACCACAGTTTCTCACATACAAAAGTAATAATAAAATAAAAAATAATAATATTTAATTATGTGAGTCTCTCAAAAAAGCTGAGAGAGTCTCTCATAGGAGAGACTTTGAGAGACTCTCTCCACTTTTTTGAGAGACTTTGAGAGACTCTCTCCACTTTTTTTAGAGACTCACATAATCAAATACTATTATTTCTTATTTTATTATTACTTTAATAGTTGAGAAACTATGGTGAGAGATTTGCATTGCAGATGCTCTTACAAAAAAAAAAAAACTTCAAACTACTAGATTGAAGAGGCAGATTCTCTCATGAATGTATAAATTTGTATTTGAATTATTCCCTATACTGTACCTTATATATATTTAGTACGATTTTGGTCAAAAATTTATAAAATATGATAATATTAAAACATATATATATATATATATATATATATATATTTAAATATATTCTGAGTGATGTCAAAAAAAGAAAGGGATCGGCCTCCATGAATTGGTCATTCTTCTACCTTAAGCATAATCCTCGGAATTATTTTTAGCAACGCAAGAGTTTGTGGTTTTGATCTCCCTTTACTCCTCTATAAAACGGACTCTGGATTCATCAGAACAAAACATCAATAAACACAAAAACAAAAGAAAAGAATAAACAAAAGAAAAAATAAAATAAAAACAAAATCAATAAAAGGAGAATAAGAAAATGGTGGGTTTTCGCAGAGCAAGCGGAGTGCTTCTTGTGGTATTAGTGGTTATGGCCACCACAATAGTAAACGGGACACCGGTTGTCGATAAAGCAAAAGATGCAGCTGAATCAGTTGGCGATAAAGTCAGTGAAGCAGCTACAACAGTTGGCGATAAAGCAAAAGATGCAGCTGCATCAGTTGGTGTTAAAGTACCAGGAGCCAAAGCAGGCGGTGCATCACTTGATATTAAAGCATCAGGAGCTAAAGGAGATGGTAAAACTGATGACAGTGCGGTACGTACCAAATGTTGTATATATTCTCTATATTGTATTATATACGATTTTGTATGGTTTAAGAAAGAATGTCACGTGTATTCATGTATAGGCATTTGCGGCTGCATGGAAAGAAGCATGTGCAGCAGGGAGCACGATTACAGTGCCAAAAGGTGAGTATTTGGTAGAGAGCCTAGAGTTCAAAGGTCCATGCAAAGGTCCAGTCACTTTGGAATTGAATGGCAATCTTAAGGCTCCGGCTACGGTCAAGACCTCTAAACCTCATTCCGGATGGATTGATTTCGAAAACATCGCTGATTTCACTTTGAATGGAAACGGAGCCATTTTTGACGGTCAAGGTTCCCTCGCTTGGAAGGCCAATGACTGCGCCAAAACCGGCAAATGCAACTCTCTCCCCATCGTAAGCACATTCAACTTTTTACATATTACAATAAAAACATTATTTTCATGGAATAATATGATAATTATATGGGTTATTATATTGTAACAGAACATCCGATTCACGGGTCTAACAAACTCGAAAATTAAGAGTATTACATCAACAAACAGCAAACTTTTCCACATGAACATCCTTAACTGCAAAAACATAACTCTTGAGGATATTGGTATTGATGCACCTCCGGAGAGTCTCAACACCGATGGGATCCACATCGGAAGGTCCAATGGCGTCAACTTATTAGGGGCAAAGATTAAAACCGGAGATGACTGCGTTTCCATTGGAGATGGTACCGAAAATCTCATTGTTGAGAACGTAGAATGTGGACCGGGACACGGAATTTCCATTGGAAGTCTCGGAAGATACCCTAATGAGCAACCAGTAAAAGGAGTCACTGTGAGGAAATGCCTCATCAAGAACACTGACAATGGTGTTCGCATCAAGACATGGCCAGGATCTCCCCCCGGTATCGCCTCCAACATTCTTTTCGAAGATATCACAATGGACAATGTTAGCACCCCCGTTCTCATCGACCAAGAGTACTGTCCTTATGGCCACTGCAAAGCTGGGGTATGTAACCGAATCGAATCTATACATAAAACTATCTAGTACTCAAATTTTGACACAATAATATATATATTTTGGTTTGTTTGGTAGTATATGTATATATTGGTCAAATTTATAAATCTCTCTCCAATTAATATACATGAAGGTACCATCGAAAGTGAAGTTGTCGGACGTGACTATCAAGAACATTAAGGGTACATCAGCAACAAAGGTGGCTGTGAAGCTAATGTGCAGTAAAGGCGTTCCTTGCACCAATATTGCTCTCGCTGACATCAACTTGGTCCACAACGGCAAAGAGGGACCAGCTGTCTCGGCATGTTCTAACATCAAGCCTATTCTCTCCGGAAAGTTGGTTCCAGCGGCTTGCACTGAAGTCGCTAAAACGGGTCCTTAAATTAAAGGCGCATGTCCACCATAAATCCATCCAATCTGGTGAAGACGCTTTGATTAGGGTGCGATGATAAAGTTTTGCAATATTTTTTTGACATAAAAATTATATGAATATTTAGTACTAGAAAATATGGAGTCCATTTAGGGTTGGAGTTTATCACCTGAAGAGTGACTCGTGATTGGGTAGTAATGATTGTGTGATTCGCAATATGCGAGAGTTATGTAAATTATTTGTTAAGAAATTGATTGATGTTGTTTAAACACTCAGCCTTGGTTGGAAATTCACTCGACCATTGAATCACACCGGTGAAAGCTAAAAACCTTATTTCTGTTGGGGTTCATTACTCCAAGGAACCCCAACGACAACGAAGGAGATTTCGTTGATCCATCTATAAATCAAGTAAGTGTACTAATCAGATCGAGGTATCTAAAGTCTTTCACTGTGACGGCTTATTGTTATGCGTCATGAAAGACAGCACAAGACTTGTCGTATGGAATTCTTATTTGCGACAAACGAGATGGATACAAGTAGCCCAGAAACAATTTCCACAGACTAGACAGGTATGCTCTTGGATATGACAAGAACCGTAACCACAAAATCTTGAGGTTTATAGATGGCTACCTCACTTTCGAAAAACACGTTTTCGATCGGGTTCGAAATCTACCATCATAGCTCTAATTCATGGAGGGTTGTTGATGTCACTCCGGACTGGAATGTAGAGTTTTATCAACGCGGCGTGTCTTTGAAGGGAAATACTTACTTTTACGCTCAAGAAAAATTAATAATGGAAGGAGAGGGACTGGACGACGTAGAAACAACACATCTTCCCGTTTTTCTACTCTGTTTTGATTTTACAGCAGAGAGATTTGGACCGCGTCTTCCTCTACCGTTTCACTCTCATGATGAAGAGATTGTGTCTCTATCTTGTGTCAAAGAAGAGCAGCTAGCTGTGTTATATCAAAACTATGCTATATGCTTGGACATTTGGATTACGACGATGATCGAGCCTACTGCGCTGTCTTGGAGCAAGTTTTTGAAAGTGGATATGAGACCACTCACTGGCTTTAAGTTATATGCTGAAGCTGGGAGTTTTCTTTATTGATGACGAGAAGAAAGTCGCCGTGGTTTTCGATCTAGACGGATATAAAAAGACCGAGACTTGTCGCTACCAAACAGCTCACATCATTGGACAATATGGATACTTCAAATCTGTGAATATCCGAGAAGCTCCGAATCTCGGGAAACCTGACAGATTTGGATTTACTCTCTCCATTTATTGTGTCCCACTTGTGTGCTCTTCTTATGTTCCAAGTTTAGTGAAGATAGATTAGTTAGTTCCATTTTCTTAAATTTGTTCCTTTTTTAAACATTTCCATGTCCTTTTGAACAAGACTACTACTGCTGCTAGTCGATTATTAATTTGTTTTTGCTATTATTCATCTCCTTGTTCAAGAGCTCTTTTCTCTGAATAACTTTTCCCTCATTTTTCTTCCCAATTCTTATTTCTGCCTCATGATTTACTTGTTTATGTGATCATTCAATAATGTTTAAGCTAGTACTGCAAGGTTGTGATCATTCCTTTAGTGTTTCTTCTTTGCTGTTATAGTTTGGGCTTTATGCTGCTGTAACCATCTTGATGCGTTTTCTGGAGGGATGTTCTGTTATAACTACAGAGACCTTATGTTTAGGACCAAAATACTTTTCTATAGCTTTGTCTTCTTGACAAGGTTACTTTTGGGGTGGAAAATTGATGAACTAAATTACTTGTTATGTAAGATGAAATTCGAATACTGTATATATATATATATATATATATATATATATATATATATTGAAATGGTACTAAGGTACCGTCTCCAGTCTATGACCAAACATTGTCCCATGGAGTCTTTTAGTTTGCTCAAGAAGTTTTCCCATGAAACTGAAGGTAAATTACAAATTAAACATTGACAAAAGCCAAAAGTGTTTACCATGTGATTGGCCTTGTTACTAAATATGGTTTATATGATTATGTAGCATAGTCTGTGAGATTTAAAATGTCTACTTAATAATTAGGTTGTGGCCATAAGGAACTATTGTTTGATTTGATAAAAAGTTTTGGCAAGGAATTTATAGTCATGAAACTTGGTTTGAAGATGGACTATATAAAGGGCAACAAAAGTGAGCTCTACAAACAAATAATTATACATTACATACATAAATCACAAATCCATGTGGGTGCACTTAATCGAAGCTAATAAACTTAAATCAAGTATCAAACAACTCAGCAACAATCACATAAAACAAAATAAACAGATAATGGAAAATAATAGTCGAAAGATTTCAACTTCTTTTGCAGCAGAGATTGTAGAACGAAAGCAGTTTTAAAAGACAGAAACTTAATGGATCAATGATATAGCCAAGGATGACTTCCCGTCATGATTTCATCAACCACTTGCCGGAGCCCTCTCACATGAGGACTGAGACATGGTGGTTTGATGGATAACCTGAGAACCCGAATTGTGGGTTTTGTTGGAACATGTCGTTGTTGTTCCCGGTTATGTCCGAGCAAGATGTTGTCGAGCCACTAGACCCGACCCCACCCCTTGAAATGTCCCGTTGCCGGAATTTTCCTGGAGAGTTCTTGAAGACATGCGGTGGATCCAAGAATGGAGGAGCTTGTGAAGATTTTGATTCTTGAAGCTTCTTTGTGTTGAGGAAACGCCCACCAGAGCCTCTAGCTCTCTTTAACGCATGAAGGTGGCGCGACTCGTGAAGGTATGGCTGCATAATTTCATACAAATAATTGGTCTTAAACATAATAATTGAAACTTTATGTAGTTCTATTTATAAGAGTGGTGCAACAGAGATAAAAACGTACTTTGCGGACTTTGATGAGCTTGTTCTGAGCTTCAAGCTTTGCACGGCGCTGTCTGCGGCGGAGAATGGCTTGGTACTGTTTTGCATTGACGAAAATTGGTTCGTTCTCTGGAATGTTGTGAGGCAAAGGCACTCTACAAGGAACCAACCCTCCAATTTGAGGATGCTGCACCTGCAAAGATTTCCATAACAAATACTTTCATAAGGATACAACAACAGCTAGCAGCATTATTTTGAGATGCTCCAATTGTGTATTACCATGTGTTGTGATGCATACGGAAAAGACAAGAAACCATTGAAATGTGGTGTTACATTGCCGTGTAAAGGCCAAGAAGCCGCCTGAGAGCATATAGACATTAGACATCATTAACATAGTATATATATATAGCTTTAAACTCATTCTCATCTACTACAAGATTAAGGTCAAAGGTGGATAGAGTATTTAACCTCAATAGGAAGAACAACTGAATCTTGAGACACCTTCGACTTCGAATGACTTCCAATAGGATTCTCCGGGTTTTCTTTGTAACCTGCATCAAAACAAGAACCCATAGATCAGCTAACACTAAACGCAGTTGACGCAATGTGAGCTCTTATTCAGGGGGAAGAAGAGTTGAAAGTGGTGGACCTGAGAGTTGAGTAACAACAATGTTGTGGCCATAACGATTATTAGGTTCGCTTAAGCTAGCAACTTCACTGTATGATTCTCCTCCAGTGGATTGAGTAGAGGAGGAATCATGGTCGTGCAATTGAAAAACAGTTTGTTTCATCTCAGGGAAATGGGTAGACATCATCTCCATCGTCAAGCTTAAAGTGTTGTTATCGGTCATGGATGATGATCCTTGGACATTTGAGTTGGTGAAGACAGAGTTTTCCCAAGAAGTTACAGGATAAGACAATGATTCTTTGCTGTGAAACTCTTGCATTGTCTGAAATAACTAATCAATCTCCAGACCATAGTAGATCCATCAAGAGACAAGAGGTGGTTTTCTTTCAGTCACCTGTAATCCCATCAAGTAAAGAAAAACAGTCATGATATTGTTGAATTCAGTTGGAAGGATTCACCAAAAAACCATTCTTGTTGATCCACAAAGAAAGGAGCAACAAACTGTTAGAATTGAGTCCATGATTAAATCTTCTAATATCATATGTGTTAGTTTGTATGTAAAGTCAACGGATGTAATTTGTTACATATGACTTACCAGGAACGGGTGTGAGTAAGAGACGTAACTTGTCGGAGAAGTTACAACTGTTACCAACGGTTACGTGGAGCAGTTATGTAAACATGTATATAAGTGTGTATGTCTTGTCGAGTAAAAATAACAAGTTTCAGATTCAATAAAGAGTTATTTTTGTTCTTGTCTTCTTTACAAGAGAAGAGACAAATGTCTCTTGCATTGTTTTTCTTCTTTCTCTCAATATTCCAACATGGTAGCAGAGCTTATTTGGTCTTGGAGCCTGTCCAAGTAAAACAAAGATAAGAAAAAATTCCGCTGCGAGAAGAAGAGAAAGATGGAGACAACAAATTAACGGTGAGAAACCGAAAAGAAAAAAAAAAGGAGAAGAAGAAGAAACAGGGAAGGAAGAAAAAAATTGATGGTGACAAGATAGGGTACCATCAACCTTCACAAACGTATTCACAAGCATTTCCTTCAAGAAGAAGGCTCCAAAAGCGATGAAGAAGATAGGAAATCTTTTCTAAAGGCAACGGAGAAAACGGATGTGGATTTGGAGTTGTGGAAGGAGAATTCTGAAACTTTGTTCAACAAGGTCTTGGTGAAGTTCAAGGATGCAAAGAAGACATCACTTGATGAAGTTGAGAATCCGAAGTAGGAGTCAACTGAAACAAGACGGAGGAAGCCGCCTGTGTAAGAAACAGAGCAAGGCTTAGTATCAAAAGGTGTTGTTGAATTGTAAAGAACACTGCAACACGGAGTAAGCTTCTTGGGAGAACAGTGCAAGGCTACTCAGCAAAAAGGTTCAAGGGAACTGATGAGACGTCATCGAGACGTGATGGTGATCAAAAGAGGACACCATAAGAGGATGCTTACCTCGGAGAAAAATGGAGCACAAGAGGATGCTTACCTCGGAGAAAAATGGAGCATAAGTCGGTTGAAGAGTAAACCGAAGACGACGTGAAGAAGATTCACGCACAAGACGTCATGGAGACGTTATGGTGATCAAAAGAAGACACCGAAGAAGACGTGACGATGTTCACGCACAAGACGTCTACGTGACGTGATGGTGATCAAAGGAAGACACCAAGCAAAAAGGAGAGATGCTTACCTAAGAGGGAAAGGAAGCATTGGGTTGTTGTAGAGACAATCGAAGAAGACGTGGAGAAGATTCACGCACAAGAAGTTACAGAGACGTGATGGTGATCAAAGGATCACATATTTGGTGATCAAGAGGACACAAAAAGGGAATAAAAAGAAAGCTCACCTAAGAGAAAGGGAGTGAAAAAAAAAAAAAAAGAGGTTTCGAGAACAACCGGAGAAGACGTGACAAAGCTCACGTGAAAAAAATTTTGAAGGTGACAAAGGAGAAGCCTTGTGGGAAAGAGAAATGTCAAAAGTGTGCAACGTCAAATACAAGTAGCAAAGAAGGTGTTCTGCACGTAACAAGCCAGGGCACGTGGTGAAGAAAGGTTAGGAAGGCCGAGAGAGCGTACCTAAGCCTAGAAGAAACAGATTATGAGGATCATATGCTGTTTAGTGCAGTTGAAGAAAGATCATCATCAAACGTGAATGATGAGACATGGAAAAGGGAAATATCCAAGTGATGACAAGCCAAGAAGAGAAGATCATCAAAGAGGTGTTTCTAATTCCGGGTTTAGCGAGAAATCTGTTGAGTGTTTCTAAAACAAGAAGTTACCAAAGGATAATAAGGTGATTCAACTCCACAGCACCTGCAGAAAAGAAAGAGCTGTGTTCGATTAAGGAGAATCGAAACAGGGCGAGGTGGAGAAGAAGTGTTCACGAAAGAGGAAAATCGATGAGTGAAGCATCCGATCAAGAGGGAGACACAGAAGGAATGCTTACTAGTAAACTATGGCATCGTCGTGAAAGGGATTTGACCAGAGAAGTGGCAAAGCACCAGAGGCGAAGAAGAAACTATGGGATTGAAATCCCTAGATTGAAATTAGGGATTTAATCAAAGGACTCAAGAGGGAGTGTTAGAATTGAGTCCATGATTAAATCTTCTAATATCATATGTGTTAGTTTGTATGTAAAGTCAACGGATGTAATTTGTTACATATGACTTACCAGGAACGGGTGTGAGTAAGAGACGTAACTTGTCGGAGAAGTTACAACTGTTACCAACGGTTACGTGGAGCAGTTATGTAAACATGTATATAAGTGTGTATGTCTTGTCGAGTAAAAATAACAAGTTTCAGATTTAATAAAGAGTTATTTTTGTTCTTGTCTTCTTTACAAGAGAAGAGACAAATGTCTCTTGCATTGTTTTTCTTCTTTCTCTCAATATTCCAACACAAACAAGAGATCTAAGAGAAAGAAACCATAGAGCAGATCCAATGATCATACTAAATAGAAAGTAAAGATTCAGACTTTGAGAATTAACGGCCAAACAAATCAGATCAAAAAACAGAGAAAGCACAAACATGCAATTCCACTATCTATAACTAGAGAAGGGGAAATAAAACGGCAAAGCAGGAATCAATCGACATAAGACATGAGAAAACAGAACATAACTAAAAAAAGAAGAAACAAACAAAGAAAGTATTCAGATTTTTCTCACCAAAAATGGTTTTTTTTTCCTCCCAAAGCAGAGTACAAGTAGTCAAATAAAGCGACTAAATTTACACAAAATCAGAGAGAATCTATGGATTTGATGAAGATGCAGATAGAGAGAATAGATAAATAAAAAATCATGCAATGTTGAGATGATGCATGTCTCCTTCCTCAAAACATGGCTTCTTTCTTCTTTCTTTTTTCTCTCTTTATCAATTAAAATCAGTAGAAGGCTAAAAAGCTTTACCTAACTCTCTTTTTTTTTTTTTTTGGTCTCTCCAGTAGTACCAATTTTTTTCCCACCACTAATATGTCACTACCTTTTAGCTGGACATTAGTTAATAATTATTGTTATTCGTTGTTTACATTATGATCATGAACCACTCTTGTCTTCTTCCTCTTTTATATTTTCTGTCTAGTACCAAATAATGAATAATCAAGATCAGAATACTCCCATTTTATCAATTACAAAAAATAGTAAGCTTTAAGGTTAAAACAGAAAACGTGGGTACAAACAAAACAAAACAAAACACTTTGGGAGAGAGCCACATTTGTAATTTGTAGTACCTTTTTTTAACCATATTTTTTTTTATTCATAGCCGCCACATCGCTGTTCCGACAATCCACGCGCTTCTTGAGTGCACGTGATATTCACGTCCGGTGTTTGGATGTTGAAACACGTCGTCACAACATAGACACACACACTTGCCTTTTTGTTTGACTGGGCTTTTGGTTTTCCTGCATAATGATAAATAAATAAAAATAATAATAACGATGACTTCTGATGGATTTTTAAAGAGAATAAATCTACACTGAAGAACACTTAGATTTTTATAATATGTAATTAAATTAAGAAAAATAATAATTAATACTGTAAAGATTTACTAATTAAATAGGAATAAGGTAGCCTTTCAACAATCCCACCAATCCCACTTGGCGTGAAAGGAAACTGAAATCAAGTCAAGCAATGGGATATGGAATCACCCTTTTTCTCGCACATTTAAATGAACATTACATTCTCCAACACAAGCAAGGTATTTGATTGTAGTTGAGTTTACGTTTACCAAATTCAACTGTGGACAAAACAAAACTTACCAAATTTATCCGTTTCTACCATAGCGGATCACCGTAATATAAATATTTTTTTGGTTTATTGTAAAGAATCACCGTAATATATGTTGGTTGGTTTCGTAATAAGTTGTTAAAAATACATTGAAAACATGATTAGCAATTGAATTAAGTGATTATAAGGTGAATTCTAGATGAAGATTAGTGAGCCATCATCATTCATAAGTGAAATCTCCATTTAAAGCAAAATAAATATGTTTTTCCCTCATATACTGTTTGGCTGATGAGATATTCGTCAAAAAGTAAAAACAAATGACACAAACGCAGTTACCTGACCTACCTAATTCTATATGCGACAGGTAAACCAAGTACTGTTCCTTCTGATTCTTGTGGAACCTTAAAACATATATGTGTTGCCCACCAAATCATATCCACTGCATCAAATTAATCCTAATGATAATAATCGCGAGACCAACTACTTATATACCAACGTCTAACGTCTTAGGGCGTGTTCAGTTGATATAGCTTTTACCGTTTTGCTCCATCTCAGTCGTAGTCATGCGACAAGTAAGTAAAAGAACAGACCCTTATTAAATAAAACATGCCCTACAACGTAACCACCAAAAGATGAATATTTTTGCGTGCTTTAAAATCGTTGTTACTCTTCTTTTCTTTTCCAGTTTTGGGTTTTAGAAAACAAAATTACCCAGAAATTTAGCACACACCAACAAAAAAAATAAAAAAATGCAAACGACGAAGTGATGACACATGAGAGAAACCTAAACTCTAAACTTTATATATCTCTGATACAGCCAAAAAAAGGAGAGAGTACACTCAGTATCCTTTTTTTTTTTTTTGTTCTTTTTGTTTTTCAACACGAAATATCAAAATCAGTAGGCGAATCTAGAAAAAGAGAAGAAAATGGTTTCAGTAATTGGGTAAGGGAGAGAGAAGAAAGAAGAGAGAGAAGAAAGGGGTTCGTGCACTTCCTTCACAGAAAACAACATCATCACCATCGGGTAGTAGTAATTACTCTCGTCCTTTATTATGATATGGCATGTCCTGTTAAAACACAGATTTCAGCATCCAAAAGCTTTAGCTCTTGGACCATAAATAGTAAAGAAAGAGGAAAATAGTAAGAATAATAACCTGCGGGTAAGGAGGAGGAGGATGCTGCATGTAATAAACTGGCCTAGGCTGCTGCTGGCCAGGCATCATTTGCTGCTGCTGACCAGGCATCATTTGCTGCTGCGGATACTACATCACAATTTCAATTCCAGTCACCATTAGACTTTTGATGTTTTTTCTTTTTTCGTGTGTGTGTGGGAATAGTGATTCAATAGGGTTTCTGTGTTACTGTCAAACCTGAGGTTGTCCATTTGGATGATAATAGGTTTGAGGATGATACATCATCGGTGGTTGGTTGCCAGGATATGGCGGGACCTGCCAATTTTCGCGTGGTGAGTTTTAGAAACATAACTCGGTTGGGCTATATAATATACTATATCACATGGAACTTACTCCGTAATTAACAGGCGGCATTCCAGGCATCTGCTGAACAGGAGGAACATGACTAGGACCAGGATAGTAGAATGAGGCATCTGAAACTGGAGATTGAGGTCGCACAGCAGCTGGTTGCGATGGTTTGAAACTCTTCGCGTTTGGATTGAGTTTGAATTCCTGATCAGACCCAACGACCCATAATTAGTTTTAAAAAAACCACACACACACACACAGTTAACACTGTATCAAGTTTGAACAAATCAAACAAAAAACCTTTGCATTCGGATTAAGTGTGGACTTTTCTGATGAGGTCATAGAACCAATTGACGAGCTCGGTGATAGCCCAGGACGACTTGATGTTGAAGGACCTGGGCGACTTTCTGAACTTCTAGAAGCCGACTGCCCGAAAGAGCTTTCAGATTTTGTTTTACTAGAAACTTGACTGGCTTCTCTTTCTCTCTCAGTAACAGCCTTCGACACCGAGGTTGCACCACCACCAAATTTTGCACCTTCTTTGATATCTACATTCCACAATACATATTTACATAAAGCCTACAACCTGTTTCTTAATTAGATGGACGTTTCATAACAGGTCACCACTCCTTGTGTAAAAAGAACATTTCTAAATTCCATTTAGCAACCTTAACAGAATCCACCATAGGTAGTCCATTGAGATAACGTGATAATAAATATAGCATCAGATCAAGAAAAACTGGAGTATGCTTGTAAAAATGAAAGGTAGTTCTTCGTATACAACAAGAAAACCTGTTCAGACTTCTGTGTACACCAGTTGTTCAAACTAATTAAACAAATATAGTGGGGTGCAGATAAAGAAAACAGTGTAACAAAAGACTAGTGTATACCTCCATGACCGGAAGTTGATTCCTCAGCTGACTATGTTGATACAGAAGGAAGCCAAATAACCAATGTTAAAAATAATGAAACGCAAAATGCAATCATGATTAAATGGCATAATCAACATGGACTTGACATTACTCTGTTATTGTGTGACTCTTGGTTATTGTTTCTTCTTCGCTCATCTAGCTGGCTCTCACTATTATGCCAAGAGAAACTCCCAATGTGAGATAATATTTTAGATGATTTTCCAGATGCGTAGCTTAATAGAAAAAAAAAAAAAAAAAAAAAAAGAAGACCTGATCTTGTTGCCTGCGGCAGGAAAATATTTGGATTGTTCTTTAGAGGTCGAGAAGCTTTGATCTACATTTGTATTATTCCGAGAAGACTGACTGTCACCCTGAAAGAAAATGAATGACAACATCACCAATCGTTCAGCTATTAACTACTATCAAAGACGATCTCAGCGATACCCGTAATTCTTCACAGCCCTTGCCACTAGAAGCTGGCTTCTGGCCATCAGAAGTAGATGAACCACCAAAAGTCAGATCGTTGCAAGTATCCAGCAATGCGTTGTCCTCCTCATCAAACCCACTATCACCAAATCCAGTAACTGGACGGACAGAGGAGTATCTGGCTTCCTCGTCAAAATCAAAGTTCTCATTAAGCTGAAGGCCCCTTTCCTGCATGCATGAATAGTTACAAATTTGGGCTTAACAACAAAAAAAAAAACCAAAAACAAAACCCCCAAATTACCTCTGCTACATGAAGATCTCGGGTAGTCTCAGCCTCGATCTCTCTCGCAATCTTCCGGGCTTGCTCTTCCAACTGTTTAGTCTGAGGACCTCTCTCAAGTCTTGTGGTATAGATTTCCTCGTCGAAAGTACTCTTTACTCCAAACAGTGACTCATTCACCTCAAACTGATTCCATTTCCTAAAAGCAGAAACAGATCAGCTGAGAGGTATCAAGAACAGAAAAGCCAGGTAACCACACAGCAAAGATTACTCATATATAAAAAACATAACTATCAAAACACTATTCTTCCTAATCTTTTAGACATTCAACACGAGCTCTTCCTCACAATATACTTTATGCTTTCACTAAATAATAGAATTCTAGCTGTAGATATAGAAAGAGAATTGCTTTCCAAAAGGAATATACTGAATTTCTAAAGTGCAAGCACAAAAATAATCTATTCATTCCCACCATCTCTCATCTAAAATGTTCAGCTAAGAAACCGTGGTCTGAAAATCTAGCTGACAAATCAACATACCAAACATTCGATAAATACAAATTTGACAAGAAGTTTAAATATATATGAATGTGTGCATATATTACCTATTCCAAGGGTTATCAAACACATTCTCCAAATCTGCACCCTGTGGAATAGTCTCATCAGGTACCCAGGGTTGCAGCTGTCTTTCCCGATCAACATGATAAGACTGTGATATAGAAGAGTCTGTCAACAGCTCCGCAGGTTTCTCACCCTGAACCGCATTTGACATGTTGGTCGAGGATACAGAGAGATCCTAACACCAAAATCAATGATAGAAAGTAATGACAATGTCAAAACTCAAAGTAGTCTCTCTGCCATATAACACATTGACATAACAATAAATATTTCCCCTTAGTTTATAAAAGCAGGCAAACCTTAGCTATAACTTGCACAAGTTCATCTGCAGGAATAATGAATGTCTTGGAAGGCGGCTTTCTGACAAATTCGGAACGGGATTTATGCCCTCGTAAAGTACCATCTTTAATCAAACATGCCATCTTTAGAATGATTCCTGGAAGTTTCAAGCAATTTATACATTGCAAGAAAAAGTAGTCTCTTTCTATGCTTTACATCTCTATAAGGAAAAAAATTCTGATTCAGAGCCTCACCAAAATCCTTCTCTACATCAGCAGCATGAAATATACCAGTATACACTGATCCATTCCTTAGATGCACTTCCACATGATGCCCGATATAACATGCTGAGAGGTACACTAACCGATCAAGCGAAGGCCTCTCCAAGCTTCCAACTTCCCCATTGAATGCTGAATATATATCAACAAGCATGAGGACTCAGAACATGACATTGCAGATAAATCACAGAATATCAACAGCTAACCTGTATTAGATGTATTTGCCTTATTTAATACTTCGTCTCTTTCACCTCTTTTGAGTGGAAATCCATTTGATGAAGATTTCGACTGAGGAATAGGTTGCATACTCATTGCAGCCTTAGACTGTTTCAACTAACAAGGAAAAAATAAAGTCTGATAGTTAGGTCTCAGAGGGAAATGAGTCGGAAGAATTCAGTTCCAATGTGAACTCTTTGGTGGCATCAAATAGCCATTGTTAGATATCACATACGTAATTGCTCAACTGAAGCGGAAACTATAAATAGAAGGTTACCATTGAAACCCATGATTACTAATTTACTATCTAACAGGAAAACACAATCAGTGAATAATAGCCTCGCCATTACAGAAAAATAAATAAACAACACTTGGTGGGATTCTTAGTCTAGAGAACGTTTGTAGATGAAAGAAAGAAAGAAAGATACTGTTGATTTCAACGATTAATCCGCACGCGAATATTAACAACGAAAGAGTTTCATCACAAACAATCAAGAAATGGAAACAAATTCAAAGAGTTTTCAGCACAAACAGACGCAAAAAAGGAAGGCATTAGAGTGAATCAAAGATACAATCATATTCAATCATGAAATGGGATCCCCAACGTATTCGAGCTTGAACTAGGTATTCCAGTAAAACAAACCCTAAATCGACCACCTTAATCACCAAATTCCCAAAATCTACCCCGATAACGCGGATGAATAAAGAAGCAATGAACATAAACTAAAAACCCAGATATAAGAAACGAAGAAGATGATCTTTACCTCAGAAAGCTAACCCGATCAAGAAACTAAACCGCCTCTGCAGACCTATTAAAGAAATGCTTTCGAAAGGAGACGGACGAGCTCGATTAGCTTCCAACGCAGTGAGTTAGGGTTTCGGAGAGAGCTAGGGTTTACGCGGAGAGAGTGACGGTAAACGATTCACCATGAATCTAAAAGAGCGAAAGATAATCGGAGAGAATGATCGGAGCTGAGCTAACTCTTTGATTTTCGCAGGAAAGCAAAATCATGAAAAGAAAGAACAGCTACACGAAACAGATCGTTGTATTGGGTACGGATCATCTAAGTGGTAAAACTATATTTGGGCCTTAGTGGGCTTAACTTGGTCTATCAACCTAGTTTGAGAAACTTTTTTTTTTTTTTGTAGGCAGTTTGAGAAACTTTATGGGTTCAACTTTTTTTCTTTATTTTTTTTTGTCAACAAACATATATTAATTCACTAAAAAAAACTATATTGTAGATAGAGCTAATTAGGTACTGTCGAACTTATATAAGAAAAACAGAACTCGCGACCTCTTGCACATTTTGTAAGATGATTGGCAGAAGTATTACCACTACGAGGGATATGTTTCAAACTAAACGAAGAAAGTAAATCCCTGTAATACGCAAAATCCAACAACTCCGTAGAAAACGTAGGTCACGCCTCCGAGTTAGAAGTCATCTCTAAAAGATCCGAGCAATCCGTCAAAATGAGTATGCTCGTCATCGGGATCGCCACTAAACACTTCATCGTCCACAATAGAGTCTCCAGTTCTACATAAAAAAGGAAAAGACTTTTACGCGAGCCTTTTAATTCTAAATGCAGTAATCTTCCTCCACAATAAACAAGTCATCCATACCCACTCCTAACTTCCGCCCCATGCCAGGACTATGGGTTCAACTTCTGAATAGCAAAAATTGTCTTTCTTTTTTTTATGTAGTCTCGTTGATCGATCACTTACCTTAGCCATTAAGAACGTCTAGCTTTCCAACTTCATCTGATTAAATTTTTATATTATGTAATATGTATATACAACAATGCTTTTGTCAAAAAAAAAAAAAGGATCATTCTATGTCTTTTAACACACATATAAAACATAAAGGATCAAGCCTTCGATTATAATTTTTACCTTTATTTCATTTGTGGAAAGAAATCAGCAAAGAATAAAGAGTTTTGTAAAACGCATAACCTGAAGCAAAGGATACTTCAAATTCGATATGAACTTTTAAAAGGGTATGGTTTGCTTAATGATGGGGATAATGTTAACTTGACATTCAAAATGGTTTTTAATTTTTTTTCTTTTGTCAACAGCTTTATTGGATTGGCTCAAATGAGCCAATGTGGAGGAATGTTGTTTACATAAGTAGATAGTTGCGGTAGGATACGAACATTTCGTGCCAATTTATCCGCCTTCACATTCAAATTTCTAGAAATTAACGATAAAGAAAAAAAATCAAACTCCTCCTTGTCGCTCTGAATCGCCTCCAAGTAAGTCGCGAACGCTGGCCAATCTTGTGGGAAAGACACCATCTTCACCAAATCGGAGCAGTCTGTATGGAAAGCTACTTCTCTTTTATCTTGACCGATCATACATCTCATCGCCCAGATTAATGCTTCAACCTCTGTGTGGAGTGAGGTCAAGCTTCTTCGAGTATTTGCAGCTCCCATGTCGTGCGTTTCTTCGTTTGGATACGAACAAAACCATCCTAATCCTGAAAAACAATCACTTTCTTTCTAAGAAAAATGGTTTTTAATCAAAGTGCTTAAGCCTTGAAGGAAACAGAAAGGTTGGGGAAAAAGAAAAGCATTAATAGGCATAGTTGGAAAAATAACTCTATAAAGTTTAAATGATTATTTAATAATAACAAGCTTGAATCTAAATATTACATGCTTCATTGCATGTCTCATCATCACTTGTTTTATTTTTGATAAATCACTTTATGCTTTTTTTCAGTTTCGAAGGTGCAATATACTATTTGTCACCATAAAGCTAGGCAAAAATTACTAATGATCATAACTGATAAAATTAAATAATCAGAAAGCATCACTAAAAGAAATAATTAGCGTATGAGATGAATTATAATCAAATTACTTAAACATGGTTACATGGATTAGTTGGTGGAATCTAAATTCAATTTTTAAAATGATGCACACTACAAAAATTGGTGATGCAACCTTACACTTTTAAAACTTGTATCTCAAATTATCAATGCAACATAGTCTTGAAAATCCATAATCTTAAGACTATTCGAGTATGTCCAATTTAACGGATAGGTCATAATAACTATAGCTATAAGATCAGATACGAGCTAACATTAAAATGGAAAGAGAAACAACAATATCAGACTATATAAGTATCAAAAACAAGAAAACACATGATCATTCACGTGGTAAGGTAAAAATTAAATTAATTAATATTTTCAGTATCCGATCTGATCATACATTGCTGTAAAATCTGTTTTTTTCTTTTGTTCTAATTGAATATTGTTTCAGCTGTATTAGTGAAAGAAAATAGAACTAAAATGAAATTTTTTTAAGTGTGACAAATTTCGAATAAAAAAAATGGTTTATATGGTAACAAATTCCATAGAGTGTAGTTAATTCTCGCCCGTTGCTTCACGGCGCTCCTGTGACCAATCTGACATTATATACATATTTATACACTCGTAAATATTCCTTTTTTGGTTTTGCATTTATATTTGAATGCAGTTGATTTTAAATTAATTAAAACGACAATGAATTTGAATAAATTAGAAGTAATTACTGTACAAAACTAGTAATCTGCTAAGAGCATGGGCAGTGGGGCAAGCAGGTGGATATGAGTCTTGGGGTGTAAGTATTAAAAAAACGAAAAAATTATCTCTCTTTACACCCGGGTGTAACACTTTTTCTCTCTATCTCTCTCTTTCTTTATTTTTCTCTTTTCTATTTTGCTTTAAATTATAATACTAAAAAAATACTTACATCCACACCAACACATTTGTCACTACTAATGGTCTAATGACTAGTATTTAGATTCTGTCACATTTCCCAGAGTCACTGTCTTAAATTATGAAATACTCGTAACTGAGAAAATTGACAGATAACAAAATGGATTAGTTATTTCGTTTCCTTTTTTATTTCTTTAATTGGGTGCAAAATTAGACAGCCAAATTCATTTAAAAATGCACGTGTCAATATGTGGTCACACCATGGATATTTTGCACGGGCTTCATAATTCTAAAAAGAATAGTTTTATTTGTTGCTCAACATCGTCCTTTTAAAAAAGGAAGAAAAAGAAAAAGAAAATAAAGAAAAAAAAAATCAAGAGAGGAAATAAAGAAGAGAATAGTAATAACATTTGAAATTTTCTTGGTCCGATTTCTTCACTCTCAAAGCTGTAAAATTTAAGACTATACTAGTTTATAGTTAGGTTTGCTAATGAAATAACAAATTGATTGAAATTTAAGTAAAACTGAATTGTTACTTTATTCTTGTTCTTGTCAATGATAAAAGAATTGACGAAAAAAAGTTTTATGTTAAAAAAAAAAAACTAAAACATAGATCAAAACGTGACAAAAATTTGTTGGTTTTGGTCATAATAATCCATAAATATCAAAGTTAAAGACGACGAATCTGAAAATAGCCTATAGTGTTTTTTTTTCTCCGAAGAGAGGAAGAAAAAGAAAAGAGTAGAGCTTTTTTTTATTTAGGAAGGAGGAACACAACACCACACTTGTGCGCAAAACTTTCACAGTGTCCGACGATCTCAAAGCCCAAATATCAAAGTTCCTCTCTTTTTTTCTTTCTCTCTCTCTCTCCCCAAAATTCGTAGCTTTTTTTGCATTTTGCTTCTGCATTCGGCTTTGGATTTCATAAAGTGTTCAGATTTAAGAGTGTATCTCACTCAATCTCTCTGATAAGAGAGCTTCACGCCACAAGGAACCGACCCAGAGAGTTAAAAAGAAAGAATTTTTAATGCGAAATCGTTTCTAGGTCTGATCTGCAGATCTTGGTGCCCTAATTTTCCGCTGCCGCAACGGTCTCCTCTTTCCCTTGCCGTCATTTTGACTGGTGGAGTTTTATTTCTGAATCAAAAAGCAGTCGAATTTAGCGAGTGTCGTATAAGTGAAGTGCGTTACTACTGTTGCAAAAAAGGTACTGTATAAATTATGAGTTTTTTTTTTTTTTTTATGAAAAGGGTTCTCATTTCTTAGATTTGATCATTTTTTTGCTGAAGATGTGACTTGGGTTGCATTCTCCTAACTTCTCAGGTCGAATTGAAACTCTTTAGTGAGTGAGAGAGATGCTGACATGCATAGCTTGTTCGAACACCAACAATGGTGGATCTAAGAAACAAGAAGATGATGAAGAAGACGACAGAGTTATCGGAACTCCTAGGTCTAAGCAGGCGATTAAGTCCCTGACGTCACAGGTAGATAACATTCTTCCTCTGTGTCACTTTCACGAGAAAAACACAAATGAGAAAAAGAAATGAAACTCCGAGACAGGACCATTTTTTGGTCTTGTTGGTTTCTGTTTGGAAGCTAAGAGCAAATCAACAAGTCATTTTTTGTGCGTACTGTTTGGTTTCTGATCTTTCAACGAAATAGGATAAGTTTTCTTACCTCTAGAAGCCAAACTTTAGTCCGTGACTTTCAGAATGTTTTTCTTTTTTCTTATGTGTACCTAATTTTGTCAATACCATGTGATTCTTGTATGTGAATCTTCAGATTAAAGACATGGCAGTGAAAGCATCAGGTGCTTACAAAAGCTGCAAACCGTGTTCTGGGTCGTCAAACCAGAATAAGAACCGAAACTACGCTGATTCGGATGCTGCTTCGAATTCTGGGAGGTTTCGTTATGCGTACAAGAGAGCGGGGAGTGGTAGCTCAACACCGAAAATTTTGGGGAAGGAAATGGAGTCAAGGTTGAAAGGGTTTTTGAGTGGAGAAGGAACACCTGAATCCATGAGTGGTAGGACAGAGTCCACAGTGTTCATGGAGGAAGAAGATGAGCTCAAGGAATGGGTTGCTCAAGTGGAGCCTGGTGTCCTCATCACATTTGTATCATTGCCTGAGGGAGGGAATGATATGAAGCGGATTCGTTTCAGGTAATTTAACCGTTTTGTAGGATTTACACTAAATAACGTTGAGATCTTGGACTTGATCAAGATGGTACCAATCGGGAATATTGAAGATGATACTCAACTGAAATGAACTAATCCATAATGTTTTGAAATTCTTTGATTTGATTTTGGAAATAGAGATGTGTGGTTCTTGGAGACAAGCAATGTGAAGTACAGTTGATATTTAGGATATTATTATGTGAGATTTCTGTGTTGGAAACTGTTGCTGCTTTCATTTTCCTTGAATCAATTGAAGTGGTCCCCAATCCATTTGTTATAGTTATGAGAACTTGTTCATCCTTTTTGCCAAGAAAGGTCTTTGAGATGTGGGTTATATTTCGGTAGTTGAATCAGATGCAGAACTTAAATGGATTCCCCAAGGAAAATTGTGTGGGGAAGTGTTTGGTGAATTTAGTAAAGTTCTTTTTGTATGTGGAACATATAATGAGAGCAAGATGATCTAACTAACTTTCTTCATGGTCTGATTAAAGAGGAACACTTTGTCTCTCAAAGATTAATATTTCTAAATTTTACTTTTTGCACCTAAGACTGTTAACATGGTTGCTTTGTGAACCTAAGACTGTTAACATGGTTGCTTTATGAGTCCTTATTATATATGCTTAAGTCAGCTCCTAATATGTTGATTTCTTCAAACTTGTATTGCTTGCAGCCGTGAAATGTTCGATAAATGGCAAGCTCAAAAGTGGTGGGCGGAGAATTTCGACAAGGTCATGGAATTATACAATGTACAGCAGTTCAATCAGCAGAGCGTCCCACTTCCAACTCCTCCTAGATCTGAAGATGGGGTATATACTCTCTCTCTTCACTTCTGCACACATGAATCCATTCATCAAAACCTGTCTTTGATTCTTTGAGGTCTAACTAGTTTTAATTTGGTATAGCAGAGCTCGCGAATTCAGTCTACCAAGAACGGTCCTGCAACTCCACCCCTGAACAAAGAAGGCCCTCGAGGAAAAGGCTACGCTTCTTCTGGCTCAATCGCTCACCAAGCAACAACCCAAACACAAAGTCGACACCAAGATTCATCTGGTCTTGCTACAACGCCAAAACTCTCAAGCATAAGTGGAACCAAAACCGAGACATCATCTGTTGATGAGTCTGCAAGAAGTAGCTTCTCGAGGGAAGAAGAAGAAGAAGCAGATCATTCAGGGGAGCTCTCTGTAAGTAATGCAAGTGACATTGAAACAGAATGGGTGGAACAGGACGAAGCCGGTGTTTACATCACAATCAGAGCTTTACCAGATGGGACTCGCGAGCTTAGGCGTGTTCGCTTCAGGTAAAAACACATTACTTTCTCTGTTCCTTAGAAAATCCTTAAAAAATCAAGCACTTGACAACGTTTTCCTGTGGTTGTAGCCGAGAGAAGTTTGGGGCAAGATTGTGGTGGGAGCAGAACAGAGCTCGGATACAACAACAATACTTGTGATGGCCGATGATGGTTGAATGCTCTCTAGAGGAATCGGACACACCAAAACAAAACACCTTTTTTTTTTTTTTTTATATATATATATATATGTTTTTACTTGGAGAAAAGCTACAGAGTGATGGAAATAACATCGGCTTCAGATAATGCATGCATGTGCTTTTGGTTGGTGGTTGTTAGTTGATCTCTTTTCTCTTCTTTCCCATTTACATCTATAAAGAGGTATTAGTTTTACTCTTTCAGTGGATTTTCTTGGTGTTATTTTTAAGGTAATGTATATAGCTTAATTCTAAGAAATTCATATGAGTTCTATTGTTATTGAAATGAAAATGTAGGTAAACTGATACTTTTCTGGTCAGTTTAGACAATTTAAATTATTTAATACTTTGTTTTAATGTTCACTTTATAAGGTAGATGTACTTTTCTCTAATTATATTATTGACCATGATTGGTGCTAATAATTATGGCATGTACTTAAATGTTCTGAAAAAGAAATGGATAATTCAAATTTTTAACATCTCCTTAAAAATTTCCAATTTTCACTTTCTTTTTGACTTTTGAGTTTTGACTAATCTTTTCTAATGAGTTATCTATAAGGGTAAATTCGTCATTTTGTGTTTATCCAATTAGTGATTTTGCCATTTTGGAACCAATTTTTCCTTTTTGACGCGTGAGAGAATAAACCCTCTCTAATTTATTTTGGCCAAATCCTAACTTCTTTTTTTTTTCCTCTTTTAAAGCCGTCCCCTCTCTTCTCTGTACTCGAAACCCTAGTAGTGTGCTCTATCCGATTTTAGGGTTTAAGAGTCAAATCATTAGCATCTAGCTTTGCCTACGCGGATCGCACTTGGTTTCGCTACTCGATCCTTGAATTTCTCTGTTTTTGTGTGTTTCGATTTATCCGATTCGCCTTTGATCCGTAATGGTGACTGGGTCCAGAACTAGCGGTAATCGTGGGGTAGGACTCGATGATGAATCGAAAAAGATGATTCAATCGATTAAGGAAATTGTGGGTAATCACTCAGATGCTGATATTTACACTGCCTTAAAAGAAGCTAACATGGACGCTGACGAGGCTGTGCAGAAGCTGATTCATCAAGGTTTCTCTCTTTTTCACTTTCTAGATTGACGGAAGTTAGGGTTTTACTGTTGGGTTTTTGGTCCGCATTCAAGTTCTTATTCGTGATCACGAGGAATGCTACAACATCTTGTTTGTATGAGGCGTATGTAGAATGATGTGGATAGGTTATGCAAGATTTCGGTTTTGGTCTTGTTTTTATGGAGTTCTGGTGATAATTGGATAGACGGATAACTTTTAGGTTCCTGTTTTCATTTCGATATTTGTCAATTCTCTCCAGAATACTTAAAATTACTATATACTTGAAATATTATTGGTCTTCGTTGGTATCTGAATTTCTGGATTTATGATTGGGTCTTTTATCTGATTCTGGGTGGGTGACTACTATCTGTGTTATGGTTGCCATCATAATTTTTGGTTCGCTAAAAAGCTTTTCTTTTGTTCAGATCCATTCCACGAGGTGAAGAGAAAAAGAGACAGGAAAAAAGAGGTAAGGTCACAAATGTTTGTTATGGTATCTTGTTACCAGTTCTTCTCTTTTTGAACCTTTTTGCAAATGCGATCACATCGTAGTTTTCGTGTTTGACTCTCCTTACTCTTTTCGAAACTGCATTTGATGAAGGTTACTAGATTTTACATAATGTTAGTAGTGCTTGTCTTATTAGCATATCTCATAGGATGTCTACATGTTATTCTTTTTTTGTGTTTAGTGGGCATTCCAGTTTAATTATTTTGTGTGCCTTTTTATTAAATTGATCATCAAAATAACTTTCAGCTTTTCTAGCCATTCAAATAGTTTGCTGAACTCATGGAGATCATCAGGTCACTTCTTTTTTTGTTGCAACCTCTGTCTTGTATAATCTCTGATTTTTATGGCGTGTCCTTTGGCTTCAGGGTACAGTATTTGTTGAGCCTGCAAACGTAAAGAAACCTCTTGAAAATGTTACCAGTGAAGTGAAGGTTCGTACACAGCCTGAACATAATGTTCGGAGAGGAGGCTACAGTAGGAATTTCTTCCCCAGGAACGCCGCTGCTCAACGAAATGCATCTCCTAGAAATCCTGCTGCTGGTAAATCAGTTTGACGATAATATACTTGCCAGTTTCTTTCGCGTGCTTGTACGGAAAATCTTTTACTTGTTTATAAGTTGTCTTTTTAATGGTTCTTAAACATATCTATATAACGGGTTATTAAATGAACTTGGCTAAATCCAGAAAAATATATGCAGGGAAAGTAAAAGTAGAAGACATTGGCGTGTAATGCATGTTTTGCGTTGATTTGTTTTTTTGAATCTTTGTGATTGGTCGTTGGCCTTCAAGTTTTATGTAATGTATTGACCATATCACCTTGAAATGTTTTTCTGTATGTTTGTAATTTGTTCGTTTCATGTTAGTACAGGATCCAACAGAGAGTTTCGCGTTGTTAGGGACAACAGGTCTAATCCAAATGTCAATGAACAGTTGAAGCATTCTTCTGCCCAGTCCTCTGGATCAAATATTAACAAAGTGGTGGCCACTGTGAACAAAAAGGGGTATGTATTATCAATTGTGTTCTTATTCTAGCATTACTATTGCTAACTACCCTTCTTTTATACATGTGAAATAGCATGATGTGTTACTCTTCTAATAATATTTTTAAGGGAGTTAATTTGCTAAAGCTGTAGTTTTCCAAAAAATAGTAAAGTAGGACTCTTTAAGACAATATGAGGCATAGATTAGTTTTGTGCCATACTGCCATTTGGTTTTGGTAGACAGGGATAGGAGTGCGTGTGTTCGCTTAGTAGGCATTCCTCTGCAATATTGCTCAAATATGGTTACTTCTTGGGGAAACAGAAAGCCTAACGAGGACTTGTTATCTTATAATTTCAAGAAAACTATGCTGAATTTAAATGAGGAAAGTAATATTGTTGCTCTATCTTAATTGTTTGCCAGCTCAAGAGGTGGTTTGGGAAATCATAGCTCTTCAGGGGCTCAAGATTCTACTGACGATTGTAATGCTCCAGCAGATGGCAGGCTCAGACAGGCTGAAATTGCTCCTTTGCACCGTCCTATCAGTAAAGAACTCCGTGGAGTTACTTTGCCATCAACCAATTCAGTTCTTGGTGTATCGTCTTCCACAGATCCAGTTCATGTACCATCTCCTGTTTCTAGATCATCACCCGTGGGAGCTATTAAACGTGAAGTAAGGGGTGGAGGTTTAGGTGGAAAACCTTCTGATAATGTTGGTAAAGCTCCATCTGTGCCCTCTTTTTCAGGGTCCTCTATTAGAAAAAGTGGACCTATAAATGCACATCGACCATCACCATCTTCCCCAACTTCAAATATTGATCACAGTCGAATTACTGCACGAGAGTCTGTTATGCCCAGTGGTGTGGAAAAGAATAGGTCATTTTTGAACAGACAGCGTGGGAATAGAGGAAGTCAATATGCTAGAACACAACAACAAGTTGGTGGCCATACAAAGGGTAACTTATATGCATATATTTATTACTCGAATGGATGTTGTGCAATTTTTTACTTGATTTCTGCTAGGCGGCACTTTATTTTCTCTGTAGCTTCTGTTTTGGGTGATATAATCCTTTCTTTTAATCTATTGGGAAGTCCTGGTGAGAAGCCATTTCCTGTCATGACTTCTGATATTCTTGATCAACCAACCTGTACTTAATGCAGGAGCCTCACAGCACAAGGAGTGGAAGCCTAAATCAAATCAGAAACCTGTTGGACATAACCCTGGAGTAATTGGAACACCTACAAAGTCTCAAGGTCGTAGTCCTGCTAATAATTCCATAAATGTGGAATCAGAAGCCGTTAAGGCACACGATAAGCTTCCGAATGTTCATATAAGTGAAAGTCAGAATGTCATCATCGCAGATCATATTCGTGTCCCGGAAACTGACCGCTGTCAGCTTACTTTTGGTAGCTTTGTTCAAGAGGTTAATTCTTCAAGTAATTCAACATCTGCTTTCCAAGAATCATGGTCTTCAGAAGAACTTAGAGAATCTGATCGTAGGTAAGTTTTGACAGTTGGTGGTATTATTTGTTTTAGTATATTTCGGATATAGTTTGAGGTCACTTGCATCTTTCCCCAATTAACTTAATGATATTGTTGACAGTTCGCCAGTTACTTGTCCTGAGGCTTTAACAGATGGTCCAGGCGTTCAGCCTATCAATAATATTGATGATCATGTCAGAATTTCTGGATCTGACTCACCCGTCTCAGCAGTATCTGAGCCACAGTTGCCCGAACAGAAAGAAACTCATAGATCTGACAATTTGGATGATTACTCGGGAATTCAATTACTCAATAGGAATGGTCCACCTTATACTCCTTTAGAGTTTGAACAGCAGCAAGATCTTCCCGAGTTGCAAAAAATTTCTGTAAGCGTTCTTGCAACTGTAGCTTTTAAAAAAATCAAGGAAAGATAAATTCATTCAAAAATGACATGCTCGTCCTTTCCAGCAGGCTTATGACAACCATGGTAGTTATGAATTTCCGTATTTTATACCTGCAATGGATGAAACCGTACGAGTTCAAGGATTACCATCTCCACAGGAGGTAATTTATGTGTGTTGTTATTATTACTGGTTTGCCAGCATGAGTTGATGCGGAAGAGTCTAGTTAGCTTTGAGCAGTTGGTTTGTGCATGTGTCATAGTTATCTTTTGATTTTATTAACCAGGAAAAACTGATCAGGTTCCTTTTGACAATGCAGCAGGGATTCAGTACTCACATGGTAAATAATACCCCTCCATCCACTATTCCCATGTTGCAGCAACAACAACAGGCATCAATGCAACAGATGTATCCGCAGGTCCATGTTTCACATTTTCCCAATCTCATGCCTTATCGTCAATTCCTCTCCCCAGTCTATGTTCCCCAAATGCCCATGCCAGGCTACTCAGGTAACCCAGCAGCATATGCACACCCTTCAAATGGCAATAGCTATGTGCTGATGCCTGGAGGCGGTTCTCATCTCGGTTCAAATGGTGTCAAGTATGGAATCCATCAGCAATATAAACCAGTTCCAACTGGTGGACCTACGGGTTTTGGGACTTACAACAATCCTAATGGGTATCCAATTAATCCTCCCAATGTTGTTGGAAACGCTACGGGACTGGAAGATCCATCTCGCATGAAATACAAAGATGTAAATATTTACGTTCCAAATCCTCAGGTAACGATAAGTATGTTAGTTGTGCCCGAACTTCATGTTTTTGCCAGTTGTTTTGTATTCTGATTTGTGTTTCCTTATCTAACACTACAGGCTGAGACTTCTGAGATTTGGATGCAAAATCCAAGAGATCTTTCAAGCCTTCAGTCTCCATATTACAATGTAGCTGGACAATCGCCTCATGGCACTTATTTATCGTCCCATACAGCACACCAATCGTTCAACCCTGCTGCGCAATCATCTCACATGCAGTTCCAGGGTCTCTTCCACCCACCACAGCCTGGCACAATGGCGAATCCGCACCACATGGGACCTGGCCTTGGTGGTAATGTTGGAGTCGGGGTTGTGCCCTCTCCTCCTCCGTCTCAAGTTGGTACCTATCAACAATCACAACTTGGTCATCCGAATTGGCCAGCAAACTTCTGAACAAAATCTAACCTTTGTCTTCTTGTCTAATGGATTATATAATAGCCAAAAGCAAATATTTTGATTCTCCTTATGAAACGCCCAAACTCTGTTTTGAATTAATCTTATTTATTCAATGCATAAAATGTTCCCAGCTCTCAACAATTTTCAATAAATCCTTTGTCTGCTTCCATTTCCCCTCATCTTTTACAGCTGCAGGTATGGTGTTATCCTCCCATGGCGTCAATGTGTCCAGGTAAAGTCCTGTCCGTGCTTCTTAATCATTTTTACTGCTACTATAGTTTCTGTCAATTTCAAGAACCCTACAATGCATGTGATGGTGTTTAAGTGTGGAACCCTGTGAGTGAAACATTGTTGCTTGGTGCTAGTGTTTCCCATTGTCAATGTTCTACAAGTATTAAAGAGAATTGAGTGTTCTTCTTTGAGTTTTATGTCTTCTCTCTCCATTTCTTCTTCCTTATTAAATTCTTGATAGAGAATCATTAGTTGTTGAGCTTGACCTAACTTTCCTGCCTTTAGAAATAAAAACAAATATTCTTAATCAGAGAACTTGTTGAAGCGCAGCCCTATAGGTTTTGATTATCTCCTTGATTACTTTTGTTTTTTAGGTGTCTTAGCACACACTGTCATCATAACAAAAGAATCTAATTGATCGTTTTGTTGACATATTTAGAGAGCTAAATATACTTCAGTTTGGGGAGGTGGGTCTTAATAAAGGGGCCAACTAGAGTTTACTCAGAGCCTAATTTGTACGGACTTTGCCTGCTTCTCAGATTTAATAGGTCGAAACTCTTTATCTCCTAAGTCCTACCTTATTGAGAAATGATTACTCTCTACGAATCTCTTGAGACTCCATGATGTTGAGTCACTAATACTCTATTAATTTGTCTCATTTTGACCGGTCTAGGTTTTTTTATTAAACGTGGTTACACTGTTGATAACACCTACCGCACAAGCAAAGATTGGCTTGATATATTCTCTGAAAATTCTCTATAATTTGTTTAGAGTTAGTGAAAATGAAACTCAAAATGATTGAGGAGATTTTGATTAAGAGTGGCTAGAGTAGAGTAGAGGCTTAGGGTTCATACTTCATAACTTAGATAACCCGCATGTAAGAGGGATAATGATGGGAAATGTTGGCTCTTCTAGACCCTATTCTATATATCTCATAGAAATATTATAAGAAATTAAGAAGAATTAGCAAATTTTAATTGAAAATGATTTTTATTCTCAAGAAGTCAAAAGGTCTCATGATCGGATTTGGAGATTTATAAGCACAACTCTTTACTACTTTTGTTAAATCAAGGCTTGTTTGTTGAATCATCAAGATTTTAATTTCTCCCTAGAAATCAACTAAATTTTGTGGGAGATTGTTTTTTTATCAACGATGAAAAGTTTGAAACGTTGTATGTCACTGTGAAGCTGACATGTCAAATCAGAGATAGTGGAGTGATTTATAGACATCCATACACTGACTGATACACCAACAACATTGTTGTATGGTATAATAATGGTAAGTATATATTCTTGTTTGTTGGGATGTTAGAGGGAAAATATGAAAATCAAACGTTCTCTTAAAGAGTTGGAGTGTGCTCTTTAGCTATTTGATTTAAATGGAATCTGCTTTTGCTATTGCATGCACCAACTCTATTATGATGTGATCAGAATCTTTTGTCTTTCTTTTGTTTATCATATCCACCCACACATGCGTGGAATCAATCTCCCCTGCAACTTCTGTTTATTGTACATATTTCTTTTGTAATAATTTCTCTCTTTGTTTCTGCCTATGGTATGCGTTATACGAAATCATATATATATACAAAGGAGACTAATATTCGAATATACCAAAAAAGGATGCTATGGGATTAGTTTTTAAAAATAAATTTTCTCCAATCTCCATTATATATCTCATAAGTTTGAGAAGATAAAGGATTATTTACAAACATTTAAAGTACACTACAATAAAATCATCCCCTTTTATTTTCAACAGAAAATCATCTATATGCTTTGCGAGATATTTAGAAATTTTTTTTTTTTTTTTGATAAATCCTATCGGCTATCTGGTCGGCCCCGGTAAGAACGCACCGAAGTACTACATAGTGGACTGGTCCACCGTGTTAACGGTTAGGCCCTTACGGGCTACCACTCTGCCTATCCCGAGTTTGGAATGCCTTCCAACTAAGTGTCAGGGGGTAGTCAGGCCGCCTGCATTTCTGGCTACCAGGTAAACCAATTGGGCCAAGACCCAACTGACAGACTTCCCAAACAAATGTGTTTTTGTTTCCAGGGAGAATCGAACTCAGGTTTGGGAGTTTCACTCTTTCCCAAAGCTTCCTCTGCCACTAGACCACGGATGCTTGGGCATATTTAGAAAACTTGAGAGATTGACATGGACGTTTGATACAACATGTTAAATTTATCCAATGAAATGTAGTAATTATTAAAAGTTAACATTATTTGAACTATTACATACTTTCTCATTTAAAATATTTGGGTAAGGTTTAAGTATTTCTTGAACTATAACATACTTCATTAACCGGACCCATTTCTACCATATATCTCTCATATAATACACACACACACGCGAAATTAATTTGTAGAAATGGTATGAGAGATGGGTCCGATTAATGAAGAGCTACACGAATGTGAAGTTTCGTGGAATCGAAAGGGCGTTCATAAAAAATAACATGCATGTGTTGTGTGCATTCAATAGTCTAATTTCCCATATTCCTTTTTTAAAAAGAAAACTAGTTACTTTAATAAAAACTCGTTTCCTTTGTTTTTCAATTGATGCATGAAATTATAGTTAAAAGAAATGGAGTTTCCCTTAGGCCAAGGCCCAAGGGAGTAATCATTTTGCAAATGAACACCATTATCTCTTTAACATTGCATTCTTCTTTCTCGCACACATTGTATTATTTTTAATCATCCAATTAATTAGATTATGGTTCAGACAATACATCTCAGAACCAAAGTTCGCAAGGGAGATATACAATTTGATCAATTGAATTAAATACTTTAGATCTCCTGTCTATATTACACAACTACACCACTCAAAAAAGTTTAGCAATATAACTACGCACCGCATGCTTATGCATTATTGGCATCATTCTTTTATTGTATTTTCTCTTAAGAACACAATTAAAACTAAAATATATGAGATAACCAAACTATATAATTTTCCAAAGATGTTGCGGCTAAAAAGTCATTATTATTTATATTCTGTCTTTGTTATCAAAAGTACTTTCCGTTAGCTAACCGTATAAGTAATTAGCTTTACATATCATTACATTTGGAGACTAATTATACTAATTTTGTCCCGTGGTGTGCGTAAGAATATTCAATTAGAAATCAACTTCGGAGAATTTGATATTGCGTCTTTAACAATATGTCAATACATCAGTTCAAAAAAAACTGTGGACATATATATGTTCATTATCTCATGTTAAAACTATTTGTCCGTCTTAGATGATGATATTCACGCGATGAGCCATAACAAGAATCATTAAATATTTGAACTGATTGTTAGTGTGAAAGGTGTCTATAAACTTAATTAACTATTTTATCTATAAGAAAACTTTCATAAGACAAAAAAATGATATATACATGTAGAATTCTTTAAATTATTTATCCAATAAAGAAGCCTAATATCGCAGTTGACAAGAAACAAATGCTAATTTCGATCAAATGATGCAAACGTGAGGCAGTAATTAGGAAGGGACTATATACATATATGATTTTAAATATGAGAGGAGAATTTGAATCAATGATTCAAAATTAAGATGAAGCTGTAAATAATCCTATATAATCGATATTGTAACTACCATCGGTCACTTTTACATGGCAAAAGAAAGCGACGTTCACAGTAATTCCTCATAATTAAAAATCCTCTCTACTTGCTAATAAAGCCTGATTTTGTTAATCAGATAGATGATATTGTCTTAATCCCGTTGTCTATGTCTAATCATTTCCATTATACTGTTGGCTCCCTGCTGTTTTGCCCTCCTCCCTAGCAATTGTCACAAACATATATAACAAATTTTGTTAAAATAATATTTAAATTTAAATTAACGTGTTTGATTATTTTATTTGATTTTGTCGACAGTTAACGTGATTTATTTTAGATTCAGGTTTAAGTGAATTTGATTGAAGACAATATACATTAATATAACGTAAAAGTTAGATTTCCTTATGATGATCACATTTCCTATAAAAAAAAAATTAACGCAAATTCGACCATTTTATAAGATAATTTGTTTTTGAAAATTTCAGAATGTCAAAATTTTTGACGCTATCTTAACACAATATGTAACCATTACCCAAAAAATCTTCCATATTATTCTCTTATACCATTGTCAGAGTATAGATGGTTAAATGTATTTGACTAGACTAAAATGAAACTAATTTGAGTTTTGTCAGCTAACCAAGTGCATAGACAAGCATGTTCCAAAAATAGACTCTTAACAATTCGGCCATGGAAGACACTCGCTTCAACAAAGGGATGAAAATATGGTTTGCAACTAGATAGCAATGATCTTTCTATTATTTTCAACTTCAAAAATGTCATAGCAAACTTAGAAATTTGATGCATTCATTTTACAAAGATTCGAGTAAATTTTACATTCTATTAGATAAAAAAAAAAAAAGTGAGCTTCAAGTTCGAGTGTTTGAAATAGTCACATAGCTAAGATGTAAACTAGCTATATAATAGGGTGTTTCCAATAATCAACACCATTAATTTCTTACGTAGATGGAAGATAAATATGAGCTAGGAACTCAATTACCAATTAAAGTGGAATTATGGTTGTTAATGAGAAATGCGAGTTGGGTGTTAAGGTTAATGAGTGATCAGAGCCTCTTTAGCCGCATTACTTGACTCTGTTTCCTCATCGTCCAATAGTTCTTTCTTTTAACCAATCTTTACACTTCACAAATACAACATTGCTTCTTATTTTTGTTCTGATTTCTAAAGCTAAGCCTAAGCCTATAGCGTTTGTAGGCTTTTCCAAAATCGCCATCGCTTTATTTTTTTTCTCCAATATTTGATTAATTCCCTTCGAGTTTATAATTTGTATATTCACAGATTCTACTATAGAGCAAATTTCTTCTGTATCTCGTATTTCGATGTTTCACTAATT